TATTCTTTGAAGCATCTCAAAGACATGATGAGGCCCTATATGAACTGCGAAGATTATGATTATTATTATAATTGGACTCTTAATACTTGGCTTTTAATAACTGCTAAAACCACACACAGTGGAATTCAATTATTTCAGCAAATATCAAAGTGTGCATTTAAATCCGTTGTTTGAGTTTGTGGGTTATATGGCTTTGAAAAGTATGATATTCTGTTAAGTATCTAAGTATCTGTTTGACGTGTTTATATGGCATGTTTATAATGCTCCTCACATTGAGTTTTCTAGATTTAGAAGGAGTTAAATTGCTCCAAATAGGTAACCCTTTAAAACCTAAGAGAACACTGGAAATTGGTTTCACAAATCGATCTACACAAAGGAACCACTGTGAGCTACAATTTCCCCTTGCTGCTGCCAATATTTAATGAAAACCAGATAAGATAGTGGCCAAAGCATTGAAACTTGCATCTTGACCTGGATAATACAGTGCTTATGTATGCAGGTTGAGCCAGTTTGCATAACCCTGGAACCCCCAAGCCTTTCAGACAGTGGCTTCCTATACGATTCCTTCTGCTGCAGTATAGATGCCCTCATCACTCTGAAAGCACTTGGGCCGATCGTTAGACAATCTAGTTCAACCTATTGTTTTAATGCCGTAGCAATCTTTGCATTTGGCATAGCAACTAAAATATAAAAACATCTTAAAACTTTTCACAGGGAATTGCTGTAAAGTGTAATAACTGTTGATGTGATGTTAAACCGAGGTCCTGTCTGCCTGTCAGGTGGACGTTAAAAATCCCATGGCTTTATTTGAAAAGAGAAGGGAGTTTCTCCCGGTGTCCTGGCCAACAATACCCCAAATAAAATTGATTATTTGTTTCACAGCTGTTTGTGAGGCATTGCGGTGTGCAATTGTGTTGCTGCATATACCTACACATCCACAGTCACTCCATTTCGCAGTAAATCCATTGAAGCGCTTGAGATGTCCTTCCAATGTGATAATCCTTACATTTTAGAGAGCAATTTATTGCACTGTATTTGTAGGTAAAGGTGGCAGCCAATTTGTATACGACAATGACCCATAAATAGCCATGAAGCGAATGACCGATTTTATCTGGAAGATTGTTGGCCAGGACACCGGAAGAAAATTCTCTTTTCAAATAGTTCTGCGGGATCTTTACCTCCAACAATTCAGTGCTCCTCCAGCACTTCACTGGGGTGGAATGTCAGCCTCGACTGACAAGTCAAAGTCCCAATATGAGACTTGAACCCACAACCTTCTGACTGAATGGTGAGAATGCTCCCAGCTGAGCCAGTATTAATTAACTTGCTTGGCTCTTTAATAACATTAAAAAATTGACATGCTTGTGTTTGAAATTCGGTGTTTGTATTTTAATGGCTCTGATGTGAAGCAGGGAGCATAAAATCAGGCTACTGTTCTTCTGTCAGCATTAATGTTCAGCCATATAGAGGATTTCATTACAACACAATTTACATATATTTTTACGTCGGGATGATGGCAGAAAGCCCTTAAATCCACCAAATATAATAATAATCCTTGCATTTGATATAGCGCCTTATCATGTTCTCAAGACGTCTCAAAGAGCTTCACAGAATATACTGTAAATTGACTGTCGATTTCGTGGGGCAAACGTGGCAGGCAATTGCGCACAGCAGTGTGCCACAAACAGTTGTGGATTGAAGTGACCAATTTTTTTTAAGGAATTGTTGCCATTGGTAAAGCGATCCAGTACAGCAGCAATACTTGATCACTAATACTGAGTTATAAGTTCTGACGAAGGGTCATGGACCTGAAACGTTGATTCATTTTCCTTTCTCCATAGATGCTTCCTCAACTGCTGCGTGTTCCCAGCGACTTCTGTTTTTGTGATCACTAATACTGTTGTGCCTATGCTTTGCATTTTTACTTATGTTTTTTTCGGAGGAATCACTGTAAGCAGTGCAAGTGGAGACCTCTTTTTCATTATGGACCAACCCACAGTGGTAAAAATACCATATCCCACTGTGTAACACCAGCCATTGTAAAGGGATGTAACAGAAGATTCCGGTTTGGTGGCAGTGTTGGGAATTCGACATCACAAATATCATAATGTAACAAGTGCTTTGTCCCTCTTTTGATTGCATGACTCTAAGTGTGTAAAGGTAATTTTACTAAAACTGGATCAATACTTAAATAATAATCCTTGCATTTTTGATATAGCGCTTTTCACGTCGGGAGGACGTCCCAAAGCGCTTCACAGAATATACTGTAAAGTGAATTGACTGTATATTTGTGGGCGAACGCGGCAGCCAATTGCGCACAGCAATGTCCCACAAACAGTCATAGATTGAAAATGACCAATTTTATTATTGTTTTTGGAGGGATTATTATTAGGCTCTGTGTGGAGTAAGGAAACTTGCCCAAGGTTTCGCCCTCTGTCTGGAATTGAACTCAGGTCTCTCGCTTGCAATAATAATAATAATAATTATTATTATTATTCGCGTATTCAACACGAAGCAATAAGAGTGCTGCTTTGGAGGGTTTATTAAACCACTGCTGTTCGGATTTAACGGTGGCAAGAGAGCGTTGACCGAGAAGAAATTAAGGAGTCTGGACACAACACTCTTTGCTGAGCCTATGCTCATAGTTCCGACAATTTATTAATTTAAATTTAAATGATAGAAACACACTCTCTCTCTCTTTATATATATATATATATATACACACACACTGTAGAAACCAGCACATCAATTTTGAATGGTTTAGAAACAAGTGAGATCCCCCCAAAATAATAAACCTGCATTTAAAATAACGAATACACTTTGGAAGGAGCGTTTCAAGTCACTTTTTTTTAAATTCTCTCTCTCTGTGTGATGTGTGTGATGTGTGTGTGTGTGTGTGATGTGTGTGATGTGTGATGGTAAAAAAAAAATAGATTTCAATTAAAAAGCAGAGGGGTGGGGGGTGCAGACACACACACACACACAGAGAAGCATTGACAGGGTCTGGGCTTGTAAATCACTGTCAACCTCTCTTCTCTCTGCGCAGCCACAGGGCACGATTTCACACCACCAAATAAATACAATAAAATCAATCAATCAATCAATAAATATAAAACACACAGACGCGCGCGCGCGAGAGGGCTTTTACGATGGCCATTTGACGAGGAAAATAAATGTCATGTCTGTTTAATAAATAAAATAAATAAAAATAAATAAATAAAGCCGTGTTCGGTGCCGCTCTAATAATAATAATAATAATAATTCTTGCATTTGATATAGCGCTTTTCACGTCGGGAGGACGTCCCAAAGCGCTTCACAGAACACACTGTAAAGTGAATTGACTGTATATTAAACAAACAAACAAACAAACAAAAAAAGCTGTCGAGTTAATGGGGGGAAACCCGAGCAAAGACACGTCAACCGCCGATTAAAGCAACGTCGGGGGTCGGGGGTGGAAGCGGCGGAGAGAGAGGGAGAGAGGGAAGGAGTGAAGGGAGAGAGGGAAGGAGTGAAGGGAGAGAGAGAGGGAAGGAGTGAAGGGAGAGAGAGAGGGAAGGAGTGAAGGGAGAGAGAGAGGGAAGGAGTGAAGGGAGAGAGAGAGGGAAGGAGTGAAGGGAGAGAGAGAGGGAAGGAGTGAAGGGAGAGAGAGAAGGAAGGAGTGAAGGGAGAGAGAGGGAAGGAGTGAAGGGAGAGAGAGAGGGAAGGAGTGAAGGGAGAGGAAGAGAGGGAAGGAGTGAAGGAAGAGGGAGAGAGGGAAGGAGTGAAGGGAGAGGGAAGGAGTGAAGGGAGAGGGAAGGAGTGAAGGGAGAGGGAGAGAGGGAAGGAGTGAAGGGAGAGGGAGAGAGGGAAGGAGTGAAGGGAGAGAGGGAGAGAGGGAAGGAGTGAAGGGAGAGAGAGAGGGAAGGAGTGAAGGGAGAGGGAGAGAGAGAGGGAAGGAGTGAAGGGAGAGAGAGAGGGAAGGAGTGAAGGGAGAGGGAGAGAGGGAAGGAGTGAAGGGAGAGGGAGAGAGGGAAGGAGTGAAGGGAGAGGGAGAGAGGGAAGGAGTGAAGGGAGAGGGAGAGAGGGAAGGAGTGAAGGGAGAGGGAGAGAGGGAAGGAGTGAAGGGAGAGGGAGAGAGGGAAGGAGTGAAGGGAGAGGGAGAGAGGGAAGGAGTGAAGGGGAGAGGGGAAGAGAGGGGAAGGAGTGAAGGGAGAGGGAGAGAGGGAAGGAGTGAAGGGAGGGAAGGGAGGAGAGGGGAAGGAGTGAAGGGAGAGGGAAGGAGTGAAGGGAGAGGGAGAGAGGGAAGGAGTGAAGGGAGAGGTAGAGAGGGAAGGAGTGAAGGGAGAGATAGAGAGGGAAGGAGTGAAGGGAGAGAGAGAGAGGGAAAGAGTGAAGGGAGAGAGAGAGGGAAGGAGTGAAGGGAGAGGGAGAGAGGGAAGGAGTGAAGGGAGAGAGAGAGGGAAGGAGTGAAGGGAGAGGGAGAGAGGGAAGGAGTGAAGGGAGAGGGAGAGAGGGAAGGAGTGAAGAGAGAGAGAGAGGGAAGGAGTGAAGGGAGAGGGAGAGAGGGAAGGAGTGAAGGGAGAGGGAGAGAGAGAGGGAAGGAGTGAAGAGAGAGGGAGAGAGAGAGGGAAGGAGTGAAGGGAGAGAGAGAGGGAGTTCAGGGGCTGCGTTGGAGCCAAACAGGAGCCGCAGTCGCGATGCCCGACATCAGTGCGGCGGTCACTCGGGGACACGGAGCCGCCGCCGCCGCCCCCGAGAATCCCCGCGGTCACCCGCACCGCCGCCGCACCGCACCGCACCGCCTCTCCTTCCCGCGGGGCTGTCAGACACCCCCCGCCCCGCGCACACACCCGCGGCGGCGGCGGCGGCGGCTGTGTCCGGGGCTGTGGCTGTGGCTGTGTCCGAGGCTGTGTCCGTGTCCGGGGCTGTGGCTGTGTCCGGGGCCGTGTCCGGGGCCGCCTCGGGTCAGCTGTCCAGTCCGGAGCTGCGGTGTGACGGGGCCGAGCCCCGGGGCTGTGGTGGAGTGCGGCGGCACCAGAGGGTTCCTGTGTGTCGGGGCCGCGGAGGGCAGTGTCGGTGTCGGGGGTTTGACCCCCAACGAGTTCCAGTGCGTCAGCGGCCGAGAGAACGCCGAGGACTGGGAGCGCAGCGTCAGACACCGAGAGGTGACGGCCCCATACACCGCGTGGGGGGGGGGGGGGGGGGGTGGGTGGTGTGGGTGTGTTTGTGGGTGTGTGGGTGTGTGGGTGTGGGTGTGTGTGTGTGGGTGCGTTTGTGGGTGGGTGTGTGTGGGTGTGTTTGTGTGTGTGTGTGTGGGTGTGTGTGTTTGTGGGTGGGGTGGGTGGTGTGGGTGTGTTTGTGTGTGTGTGTGTGGGTGGGTGTGTGTGTGGGTGTGTTTGTGGGTGGGTGTGGGTGTGTTTGTGGGTGTGTCTGTGGGTGTGTGGGTGGGTGTGGGTGTGTTTTGGGTGTGTGTGGATGGGTGTGGGTGTGTGTGTGTGGGTGTGTTTGTGGGTGTGTGTGGTGGGTGTGGGTGTGTTGTGGGTGTGTGTGGTGTGGGTGTGTGTGGGTGTGTGGTGGTGTGTGTGGGTGTGTGTGGGTGGGTGTGGGTGTGTGTTTGTGGGTGTGTGTGTGTGGGTGTGGGTGTGTTTGTGGGTGTGTGTGTTTGTGGGTGTGTTTGTGTGTGTGTGTGGATGGGTGTGGGTGTGTTTGTGGGTGTGTGTGTGTAGGTGTGTTTGTGGGTGTGTGTATATATATATATAGAGAGAGAGAGATACATAAATGATAATAATTTGGTCACTCAGCCCCAGCGCTGTTTGTGGGACCTTTGCTGCCCCACGCAATTGGCTGCTGAAAATTTACAGGGAATTTGCTTTACAATAATAGTAGCAATAGTAGCAATAATAATAATAATAATAATAATAGTTAACCCTTGCAATTGGATGCAGCGCCTTATCACGTCTTTGAGTCGACTCGAAGCGCTTCTACGGAGGATACCGCAAAGTGAATTAATTGCCTGTTCATTGCGTGGGCCAAAAGGCGGCAGGCGGTCAGTCAGTCGCGCTCAGCCGTGTCCCGCAGACCAGTCGAGGACTGAGTGACTAAATTGTTTTGGGATACAAAGTGTCGACGACGTGCTAAGGCGATATATTAAACGCAAGGAATATTATTATTATTATTAGTGGTGTCCGAGCCTCGGGCTCCACAGACGTGCTTCACTTCACCTCAACCCTTTACAAGCTGATTTTCAAATCTTTTTATATATATATATATGTATTTTAAAAATCTATAACGATATTGTTTTTTTTCCACAACAAAGATAATTTGCAGAATTATCACTACGTGGCACTCAAACATACTTTATTTTGTGTGCGCGTGGACAAATAAAAGTCCAACGGTGATTCGAATGGCACTGTCTCCGTGAAGAAGTGTCTTGTTCTGGTTTGTTTGGGCGAGAGGGAGAGCTGCTGTCACCTGCATGTTCAGGTGCTGGCTATGTTTGTGTTTCTGTACAAGTGGAAAAAGGTTTGGTACTATTTCCGCTAATATAATGTGCTTTTAAAGTCAGATAATCAGGGCCAGATAGCATTATGATATGTGCATGTAAAAAGGAGGATAAAATTAACCGATGCGAAGTGACCTAATTGCAAATGAAATAGTGATGGATTAAAAATTAATCAAATCAAAGCCTCCCTTCCACTAACTTTCATTCTGTCTACTGCTGTATTAGTTCATTTTAATAAATTCCAAAATGCATTAGTGCGTAGCTGGGCTAAAAATCCGAAAAGTGGTACAAAACCTCCAACCTAGGAAAATGTGATTGGTTTTTAAGATCGGCCTCGTGTCGTCGTCTTCAGGCAATGAATGTGCCCCAATAAGAAAAAAAATCATAAATTCCTTCCCTGGAAATCCAAACATAAATATTTATTCATGTCTAACTTGCCATACTGTAAATCAATTGCAGTTAGTGTATTGGGTAGTGCAGTGTATGAGCAATTTTGTCAGCCAGACCTGGATTTGAATCGAGCAAAGAGTGATAGCACGAGTCCTGTATGAACAATGTTGAATGGTCTGGAACCAATTGCTTGAGGCTGAAGGCTCACAGTATAATTACTGGTTGTTTGGCATCCCCTGACATTAAGGAGGGAGTCTGTAATAATCATAATAATAATCCTTTCATTTGATACAGCGCCTTATATTGTTGAGACGGCTCAAAGCACTGCACAGGATACACTGTAAAGTGTATTTTGTGAGCGAGATGAGGCAGCCAGTTGCACACGGCAATGTCCAACAAACAGCCATGGAGTGAGTGATCAATTTTATTTGGGGGGATAGTGCAATGGGATCTACAATATCCACATGAACAGGCAGATGGGACCTTGGTTTAATGGTCTAACAACTCCTCTGAAGTGTGAATGGAAGTACAATAGGATCTGACGAAAACGTTGCAAAACATGGGCTATTTTATAAATTAGCACATGTATTACTTATGTAGGAACTCACGATTGGACATTAATTGAGAGTGGTTAGCAAATAACAGCTAATCGCAGAGCACACAATGTGAACCTGAACGCTAATTACAAGGCTAATGAGATCTTGTGTTAAACTACAGCCCAGTGATTCCACACACAGGTACCTCGTCTGCAGGCACTGTGCACACAGAATATATTATAGCATTTCCACGGTAGAGAGTGACCTGAGAACGCTGCAGAACTAAGTCTGCCTGTAAATTCTCTAAAGAGACAGCATTATCATAAAACAAAGTGTGCTAGAGAGGGTTTGTGTCCCGAGGTCAAGGCCTGAGATAAAAACACCCTGAGTGAGAGACGGGTATGTTGACATCTGAGTGAAAATGTTGGATTGTGGAGTTGGGAGAACGTTCATTGTCTTATTGTCAAACTTACTAGTTTGATGGTAAGACAACTGTAACTCAATGGTTAGAGCACTCGCCTGACAAGCCGGAGACCTGGGTTCTGTTCGCTGCAGGGCAAAATGTTGGGCAAATTTCCTCACTCCACATGCCTCTGTTTACCGAGCAGTAGGTAGGAACCCAGCTGTTAGTCGATTAGCGGATTGCTTTTCCGGGGATAATAATCCCTACAAAACAAAAGAATAATAATTTATTCACTCAATTCACGATTGTTTGTGGGACACTGCTATGCGCAATTGGCTACTACGTTTCGCCCACACAATATACAATCAATTCACTTTACATTATATTCTGTGAAGCGCTTTGAGAAGTCTAGAAGACGTGAAAAGTGCTATATCAAACAAGTATTATTATGACTACCACAAAGAATTCTGCATAAATGTCTGCTTCGAACCAGCATTTCAAAATGTATATTCGTAAGTTCAAATTTTGCCTGACGCATTAGTACAGTAAAACTCACATAGGTCTTATCTTTATAAATTGTATAAATGCCTAAATTGTGCCTTTACCCAAGTCCCATTCTGTTTTCTATCAAAACCACTTGGAGTTCTTTACACTACTCATATTATTCACCTCCTTTCTTTACACTATTTGTATTATTCACCAATTCGTAACACCACTCCCCTACCTCCATTACTTCCGTGCTTACTTGAATCGCAGGAAATTATGTCCTTACCAGTCGATGCATGTTCCTTCTGTGAAATAATCTGCAATGCAGCCATTAATCTTTCAGTGTGCCAGACTAAACGCTATAGCTACTTTTAATTTGTGTGTTGTAGGTTCACTGATGACTGTGTGACTTTTGCAGGTAAAAGTCTCAAGTGGTTGATGGCTAGAGGAATCCTGCGAGTTCATCCGTCCACTTGTGACTGGATTGGTTGTCAAGTTTTCCTGCCCTTGGTAAGAAATCTGAAAGCTTAGCTTCATAATGTGCTCAAACTCCTAATTTACTGTAAACCGAAGAAATCTAAGAAGCAGTTATGATGCTGAATCATCTCCAGGGCAGTAATTTAGGAGAGAGTATTCAAAATGAAAAGGTCATTTTTCTAAAGCAAGACCCCTAGAAAGTAGCATAAGTCTATTTCTACTTTATTGATTCATTGACTAAAGAAGCTTTATTGCTTTTGAGATATATTAATTGAATGCAGAAACCTCAGAACATCATGTACTGATCATAGTGGTTTCTTAGGAAAAGCCTCTAATTTCTCTAAAATCACTATTTGTATTTTCCTGCTTTCTGGTGCTGTTCTCTTAATACTGTAGCCCTTTACACCAAGTCGGATTATGGAGAATGATTACTCTGTGTTATGTGTGGCAATCGCAGTCGAGGTTTACTTTTAAGGATGTAAAATAAGGTAGGTTATTATGTGTTTATTTGGTATAGACTTAAGACAGTCCAGCATATGACCAGTTAGGTTTGATGTGCATTAGCAGGTATGTTTGGCCTTTGCCCAAACTATACCCTCAAATCATATAGTATTAATCATTGGGCAAGAAGGTAATAAACTGAGCTACTGAATAAATGTGTACAGTCACTCAGACATGTATAACATATAATTATAAACAGAAACATCAAAACTAGCCGATTTATTCATCCTGATAGTGAAGCACTATTTAACATACACAAAAGTAGCCACACTTTAACTATTCTCCTACATAAATCCAGGTCAGCAATTTAGATTCTGACCCTCTTGGCATTTGTAAGAACTACTTATTAAAAACATAATCCTCGAGTATTTGTCTGAAAACGACAACCCAGGCAGCATAACAAAAATAGAAGTTAAAATCTTAATAAAATACATAAAAGGGCACCTGGTTACTTGATTAGGATTACCATGTTTTCCAATGTTAAGGATCTAATATTAGCAGGGTTGAGCAACCTAAAACATGTTTTTAACTTAAATGGATCTGCAAATGCAACTCCCCAGAGTGGCAGCAATCCAATGTGCCAACTATGAGAAGTGTAGATTCATATATGGCAACAAAGCAACACTAGTTAATCGTTGGTGCTCTTTCAATAGCCCTGCTCACTTATGAAACAGGTAGTGAGCCACTTTTCTTCCAATAAACTAGTGAGTAATTGCAGTTTAATACCGCTCAACAAAAATAGCACGTGTGGCTGCCTTTGTCCTATCTCCTCAATTCGAAACTTCGCAAGTGAGCTCAGACACGGCACCTGAGTTGGGTTTATATAAGTAAATATACTGCCTGGGGTAATCCTTGCTGTGACTTGTAAACCTCCCTGTCCTCCAGCACTTTCAACTCGACTATGGCTGCAACACAAATGCTTGCAGTAAGTAAATGCTAAGCCTACTCTCTGAACTGTAGTTGGATGCTCATCTATTGATGTAACTTCACAACTTCAGAACGCTGATTTAATCCTTATTTAATCTTCAATCCTCCCGTCCACATATGAGTAGCTTAAAGAAGCGGTCACTGGATAGATATCAGCTGAGAGAACTTCAGCTAATTTTCCCGCTTTAGCCTGGGGACACTAAGGCCAATAATAATAATAATTTTTTAAATTCCTTATACTTGATATAACGCCTTTCACCTTGGGAGGACGTAACAAAGCTCTTTGCAGGATCTATTGTGAAGTGCAGTGATGGTGTATTTCGTAGGTGTATTTTGCATTATAAAGTTACAACTTCCACTCTTGGCAGAGCTCAGCTGAGCTAAGCTAACTTAACACTTTCTGGTGTGTATGGTTTAGTCCATTACCTACTAGACCATTTGGGAAGTGAAATAATTTTGGTTTGTTTAACACGAACACTGTGATATAAATCTAACACTTGCTGATCGTGGTGTCATGCATCCTTTTGACAGAGCTACTTGGTCTATAGCCTCTTGTTTTGCAGTGGAAAGAAAGCTTGCATCGCAAGGGAGTCGATACTTTTTCTCAGTTGACAAGGTTGTAGTCCAGCGGACTTCGTTTTTTCAGTGTCATTGGCTGATCTGGTTTTGATTAAATACTTCATAACTTAATCAACACGAGCTGCATTGTATTACCTTCTGCAGATTAAACATATGGAATCCTTGTTTCACAAACCAGGGGAGGGATTTCACGTCCAAACACAGTCCAAGCAGCTTTGTCTGTAACCAATAATGAAAATGTGCTGTACTTACATGATTTAACTGATCATCTCTGCATTTTGTATGATCAAGTTACATTTGGCGCACCCATCTGCAATTTAGGCTGATATAGTTGAAAATTGCAATTTTACTAAATGTTTTCAAGAAACATCCAGACTTGCAAACAATTATTAATGCGATGTGCGGGCACCAGTATTACATGGAATGGGGAAACGAAGGAAGGGAATCACCTGGTAAGGAAAGGGAATTTGAGGGTGTTGACCAAAAGCACAAGTCGAATCATGTCACATAATATGACAAACAATACATTTGCATTGCTGACAGCTGTACATCTTTACGTATCTGTGAAAGGAAAGCCTGGAAGTCAGTTGAGTCTTGAGAAGTTATAACAAACTGCACTGCAGGGCTCCATAACCTGTTTTCACATTAAACATGACCCACAGGGTATTTTGTTGAGATTTTATGCAATGCTTGTTTATGTTTGATTTACATTGCCTGACGTGGTTAGATAGATAACAATAACAACAACTTGTATTTATATAACACCCTTCACATGGGGTAGTACCTCTGAGTGCTTAGATGTGATTATGTTGTACTGTTTTTCAAAAGAAAAATATATTAACTCTCAACTAAGCAACAGTTACTGCAAACAAGTTGATAAACCACCAAATTCCATTGTTTCTCAGCATCAGAGTAAGACACAGGATTGAGACTGTTTTTATTGTTGGGTATCGTCATCAATCCATTACATTTGCCAATTAGAACCCTGTGTTCCCAGGCATTCAGTTTGCTCATTCATTTCACTGAAGCCGTCACAACTTATCCAATGCTAAATAGTTTGTATCAAAGGAGACATTTCAGAATGAACGACTAAGATTAATTTAATTGATTTGTGTCAAATCAATCTCATTCATCAGTTAGGAAACCTTTGGGATTATCTTGAAAAATCTTGAGCTGAATCTGTAAGGTGTCCATTATTCTGAATATACCTGAATAATTTTTGAGGTGTTTTACAACCAAAATGATTGAGGGAATGGATGGTCTAGACTATGAGCAGCGACTAAGTAAATTGGGCATGTTCACACTGGAAAAGAGAAGATTGAGAGGCGACATGAATGCTGTTTTTAAGATTCTAAAGGGGCAAAACAACATAGATCATGACAGGCTGTTTCAACTTGTCTAGAAAAGTAAAACCAGAGGACACGGCCTGCGATTGAAAAGGGGTAAATTCGGAACGAGTCTACGCAAACACTATTTCAGTGAGCGAATAGTGAACCTGCGGAAAAAGCTCCTTAGGGAAACGGTTCAAGCAGGAAGTGTTGATTCTTTCAAACACAGATTAGATAGTTTTCTTTTAGGAAGTAACATTATGGGATATAGTATAGAGGTAGTTCGGGACATATGTGTATGTGACCGCCAGAAAGGTGGAAGGCAAACTAGATGGACCTTGGTCTTTTTTAATCTAGCATTTCTTATGTTCTTATTATGTAAAAGATAGCTTAACTGCTCCTTTTTTTCCAAACAGGACCATGATTGTCTAGTAGAGCAGCACCCTGCCTATCAAAGCTACTCCTTCGTACAAGGAGAGCATCCCTCATTGGATGGAGATTGGACGGATGGGAAACAGAAGGAGTATGTCTGGCATTCAGACTGGAACCACAGAAGGTACAGATGGCTTGACTAATAATCAAGGTTTTATGCTACCTAATTACCGGGTAATAAAAGTCCCAAACATTGTTTAATATTAATTAATCACATTAGTAACCTTTTTTCATACAAGGTTAAATCAATACTTAATGCAAACTATATCCTTTGAGGGTCAAGTAACAAAGCTAATTTGTTTTGATTGTGTAAACGGCGGCATTAAAATTAAGTTTTTTTTAATCTTTTGACGAAAATGCTCTATCACTTCTCTTTCTCACAAAAACACATAATAACAATTTGTTGGCTAGTTTCTTCTTGCAAAGGGACTAATTGTTCATATACTTTGAAACTGCTGGAATAATATTTGTTTCAAGTTTTCTCAAGCAGTATAGCAGGCTTTGTGAAAAATCTTTCATGATGAAATGGTACAGTTTACTTAAGCCAAATCATAGCATGGTGAATGTGTTCAGACATAAGATTTGGAGGATGAGTACATTTTAGTGAAGCTGCACGTACATTGTGGTGCAGATGTATGTGCTGGGAAGGAACTGGAAGCTGCTTTATTAAAGTTCCATTTTCCTAGCAGTTGAATTAAAGGATACAAAGACATACTGAGTATTAAGGTTGCTATGTTATACTGTTGGGCTGAATGGGAAATACTTCAGTGGGTCTATTTTACAAAAATATAATTTAACTCTGAATGTTAAAAATCCACTGGACCTACTGCCACAACCATGGGGCCCTGCCCAGTGCAGTATTAGGCCACAGACTGAAAGATTGTACATTTCCATCAAAGTGTGGGCTGAGCTTATCTCACCCACGACAACAACAATAACATGTCGGGAGGATGTCTTGAAGGCTTCACACAGTGACTCTGGAGGGGGGTAAGCAAAGGGGGAGAGGGAAGGTGGTCAAAACTGAAAGGATGGGCATGTTTTGAAAGCCGAAAAGATAGGCATGTTTTGAAAGCCGAGAGAGGGAGGAAGCAAGGCAGAGGAAATCTGCAGTGGAATTTCCTAGAGTACCGATGGAGTGGGTGAAAGCTTGCCCAATGATGTTGGAGCAGATTAACCAAGGAGCATGTAGCAGTCCAGTGTTTGCTGAGCTGCGAGAGTGGCAGTAGGGTTACAGCTGTTGCAGAGGTACGGTGGAGTGAGGCTGTTGAGGATTTGAAAGTGCGGACGAAGATCGTGAATTTGATCTGCTGGGAAATGGGAGCCAGTGGAACCAAACGAGGATGAGGGTGAAGGCCGCGTGAACGACAACAACAGCAAATTACTCTAGTTATATCCTGATGGAAGGAGTCAAAAGCCTTTAGGGAAAGGGGAAGGAAGAATTAAAAAGAACTATCAACTGTTCTTACTTATAGCTGTGTATATACATAATATATACACACTTGATGTTAACTACATTTGGGTTGTGTATGATTTCTATATGATTCTTTTTCGTTCATGTAGATTGTGGTGAAAAATATAAATTTTTTAAAATTCATGAATATTAACATTTTTGGAATTATTCTCCCATTTATTTTATAGAGAAACTGGCATTTCCTTTCTCCCCTTCCCCCATGTTAATGTAAGCCTGGAAACACTGAGGCTGCAGAGTTTATGAAACCAGTTTTGTTTCAGGATTTTGTGGAAAACGTTCACCCGCCCAAACCCCCAAAAAATCTGCATTGTACTTTTTAAAAGTATTATTATTCAATCAATATGGTATGAGTGCTTGCTTCTACTACTGGTCTGAGCAGTTCTTAAGGAGCATTGTTAGAGTATAGACCATGCTATCATGATAACCGTTACTTAAAGGCATGTTAGTGGGCTTGCGAACAACAAATAAGGTGTTGTAAAGGCATGAAATCAACACTGGAATTGGTTCAAGGTGATATTGAAACTCGTTGGTCAAAACTGATGGATGCTATACATTTGAATACCTTTCATGATGATCTGTTTGGCAGCTGCAGTTCAGTTTCTCCCATAATATACACCAGCAGCTGATTTCTCAGCATTCTGACCGGCATAGAGAAAGGAACATTCATGCAGTCGATCACAGCAATAAACATCTAATGACATTACAAAGACTGTGCATGATGCTATCGAAATTGCAGAACTCAGCCTGTTTACTTGTCACCGAGGTTCTGGTTTGTGGAGCTGTGATCTAAAAATCATACCCTGAATAAATATGTTGAACTCGTAAAGGTCATCTTGAGAGGGAGGGCGATCCCTATCTCCAGAATGGATGGCTGAATTTTGTACTGTGTTCCGCAGTATTTGGGAACTTGACCAGCAAAACCCAACTCATCCATGACTTTGCGCACTGTTGACTGAGATGTTTGATGGAAAAGCATGATCTCTGTTTTGAATATTTGACATTATTTCAAAATATAATTGCATTTTCTGAAAATTGCGTTGGGAACCACTCCATGTCTGTAGAAGCCACGTTTTACCCACAAAATACACAGTCACTCCACTTTACTGTACATTCTGTGAATCGCTTTGAGATGTCTTCCTGACATGAAAGGTTCTATATTAAATGAAAGGATTATTATTATAAATCTGCCAATTGCCCAGAAATGACAAGATCCACCCACACAGTTCTCCACAATGGGGAAACATTGAATGGCCAAAATATTCCAGGCATGACTCAACCGTTGAGATGCACAATGTATGCAAAAGTAGCGTGGAAAGAATCTATGATTGCATGTATAAAAGGGCATAGAAATGGAAAAATCTGGAAGCTTTGTACTTAAATGTAGCTAACCAATTACAAGTCGAAATAGTAACACTGTTTTTTGTGCATGTTGTCTAGGTTTCTTTCTTGGTCCCAGTACCTCTCTCTCTAGCACTGAGTGGTAAATCTACGAAGTACTCACAGGCAGTCTGTGGAATTAGAGGGCAAACTGTCATCTTAAAGCAAGAATCTGTGCAGTTAATCCCAATGTTAGCCCGACAATATTCTTAATGAGGATTAACCCTGAGAAGCTTTGTGACCTGTACTATTTTAGTAACCGGCTTCAAATATACAATGTTTGTCTTATGCAGAGCAGCATTACGAAGATTTGCTTACCGTAAAATGAATCAGAAGTTTAGAATTTAGAATAGTGTAGAATTTGCACTATGCCTTTCAAAAACAATATTTTCCATCTTGTACCCAGCTGCATGATCTTAATCAGCAATGGAACACAAATTGGTAATCTCTACAATAATCTGCCAAACATCTCAAATATTAACCAAGGATTAGGTAGGTAAATGTTGAATCATGTTTATCGGCTTAGGCGCTACTCAAGTAATTATTTCATGTAACTCATGTAAGTACATTTCTAGTGCCGTGTAAAGAAAAGAAGAGTATTGGAGCACAAACACAATGATGTGGGAGGGGAGATCAAGGGGAGCTAATAAAGATAAATGGTATTTTCATCAAAGCCAATTTTGTTTTTAGCAAAGGCCAACCAACCTAACCACTAGATAGTGTTTTGACTTGTTTGTGAGATCGCAAGGAGGGTGCAACAAGTTTCCGACTGTGTGATGCCAGTTTTCAATGCTGGCTGAATGACTTTGACTGGTGAAGGCCTCTTTTTCACTGTAAGTTCTTTGCTTTCTAGTTTAACTCTTTCTTAACGTTTTCTACATTTAAATTTGTAATCTGTTCTTTAAAGATCCAGATCCATTTTAATGGATGATTATGGAATGCCTAATTTGGAGCATATATTTACACATTCTTTCCTCCTCCTCACCCCTCCCAGTACTTACCTGCTAATTATTCAGTTACAGGCTAGATTCTCGCCCAATTAGTTTCATGCTGAGAATTCTGTAAGAAATCTTAAAAAGATGTGTTTTAAAATAAATAGAATTAGAATACCCATGTTTTATCCATTAGAACAAGAGAACATTTTAGATAATAGCTGGCCTGAACCCTACTCGAGAGTTGGTTTAGTATCCTCAGGGACCAGTTAACAAACAAAAGCATTGTGTACTATTCACGGGTGATCAAATAGCACTGATAAGTGCTTTAGGACGACCTCCTGATATGAAAGGTACTACAGTAAACCTCATAAGTCGTATCAGTTGGGACTGTACATTTAATATAACTTATGCAAAGTATGAGTTATGTCAAACTTGTGTAGAAATAAACTCTTGCATGGGACTTGGGCAAATATACAATCTAGGCGATTGTACGATTTATACAGATCAGGCGTATGTGAGTTTTATTGTATATAAATGTAAATTTGTTTTGTAATGTGTTTTACACAGCCCTGGTTGATTGATTTTTTGCTTGTAGATTTGAAAAGACTCAGTGCCATTTTCACTCATCGAGAGAATTCCTGGGGGTGGTTGACCACACCTTAGTGCCGAAATGTGATTTGGTTCTCATGGGACTGGGGTGGGGGGGGGTGTGGGGGAATGGTATGTGAGGAAGCTTCTGTCAGCGTTGCACTAGATATTGTAGCCTGAGGTGCGAGTTGTGTAATTCAGAGTTGGCTTGTTTCCGAGAAGGTGTCTGAAGAAGGAATTGAAAGCTATAATTTTATTGAATTTTTTTTGATGGGATGAGCGATTTCAGTTACAGCTAGGAGCTGGGCTGCTACCAGAATGGCTGAAAGCTGATGTTTGTATCGCTGGCGAACCCAGGGTTGCGTTGGTAGGAGTGTCTGGGCTTTGAGGCCTACTTCAGCATTTTCAGTTGTCTTGCAGTAAGCTTTTTATTTGTTCAAAAGTGTTGTGAGTTTTCTATATTGCTGCGAACTTAGACCGAAATGTTTCTTTAAAAATAAGTTTTCATCCTACAACAACAACTTGCATTTATAGAGCGCCCTTCACTCGGGGTAATATCTCGGAGCTCTTAACTGCGGCAGAACTTGATGCTCAGCCGGGGGGACAAGATGACCATAAGCACTGTTGATGAGGTCTTCAGGTGTGATCTGAAAGAGGGGAAGAAGGGGGCAAGGCGGAGGGATTGAGGGAAAGTTCCAAAGTTTGGGGGCGTAGTATCTGAAAGCACGGCCGCTGATGGTGGAGCGGACCAGGGACAAGCAGGAGACTGGAACCTACTGTATCCTACCATAGGAATGCCAAAAAATGCCAGCCGCAAATTAGGAAGTCAATCAGTTTGCGAAGAGGTGAGGAAAAGAACTTATGTAAAAACTACAGGACCAGCCTAAAGTATTTATTTGAATCAAATAGATAATTTATGAGAGGTTTGAATAAAAAAGGCCCTTTAGTTATTTGAACTCATGTTTTAATGCTATCCCTGCCATCTTCCTTTTGGAGCCAGCATCAAGCTGTTTCCAGCGTCCTGTGTCTGGCCTCCGTCACTCTTTATGGTAACTTTTTCCAGTTGTTGGCTTTTCTTGATGCTAAGTAAATAGTTCCTGGTGTTTATCCTGAACTTCTTCCCTTTTATTGTTGTCTATGTATATTGTTCTGAGTTTACTTTTTCCATCATATCTCAAATCTCAAATGCTTGGAACTCATGTAGTCTAAGTTGACACTCTAGTACAGTGCTGTGCTCCTTTGTTGGAGGTAATATTCTCTTCAGATGAGACATTAAACAGAGACCTTGTCTGCCACTTCAGCTGGGCATTAAGGACCCCATGACACTATTGGAAAGGAGAAGGGAGTTTCTCCTGGAGTCCCGACCAACAATTCCTCCAATTCAAATTGGTCATTCACTTCATTGCTGTTTGTGGGACATTGCTGTGTTTGCTGCAGTGTTTGCCCATAAAACATCACATTCACTAAACTTTACAGTATATCCTGTGAAATGAATGTGGATGTCCTCCACAAGGGAAAGGCCCTATGTCAGTCTAAGCATTATTATTATTTATTAATCTGTACTGAACTTCATTTGCCAATTATCTCCCCAGATACATTCCTTGTTGAGCTCTTTTTGAAAAATGTTGGTTTCCTCCTCTAACTTCAAATCCCTCTTGATTTGATCTCAGTTGCAAATGCAACTACAACTCATTTTATCAGTCAAGAGCCCGAGCTTCTACCAAAAAATGCATTCCAGGCTTCCTAATAGTGTAGCCCCCACTGCAAAACAGCCACATTGAGCACTGAAAGCTACGAGTCACTGTTCTGACTGCCACATTTTCTTTCTAAACTGGGCGTACAAGGTTATTGACTTCACGAGAAGTGTTTACTAAAATCTTTCTTTGCTTATGTTATGTAAATTATTCAACGTGGCAAATCAGTCAGACGTCAAGGTTCCACTTCCCCTTCCAACCCCAGTCCTCGGTTGTCTGTAGGGAGAGCATAGGGTCACCCATTAACTAACCTTGCCTGGATACGTATATTAAAACAAATCCGTGTGGTGGAGTTATTCATTTAACAGGAGTGCACTGTTTTTTTAAACGTTAAAGCCAGCGTATCCCTTTTCAGCGGTCTCTGGTAAATCTGTAGAGTCGAGGTATTAGAGAAAATCCAATCCTATTAAACGCTGTTTGACTAAAAGCAGCTTAGATGTTATTGCTGCAGTCTAATTAAGGAAGCTGCGAAATGCGCCTGATTAAAAATAATAAAATCACCACAGGATCAAATTAGTGGTATCCAGCTTGTTGAACCATCCAGATTGTTGTCTGTCACCAGTCACCATAGTAACTGTTTTTCAACCATTTGAGAGACGAGATGAATGTAGTCCCTTTAACTGGGGAGGAGATGGATCCAAGCCCCTCATCTTTCCCTTTTCTCACTCTCAAAAAGTATTGTAAATAATAAAAAACAATTCTGGGTTGATGAGATTCATTGCCTTATTCCAATCTGGGTTTGAGTCAGTGACTTTTCTACATTACAATCTGAACAAGTCTCTCATTGCCAGTCAATAGTTAGTGTATTTCTGTCACTCTGGCAATCATTGTGCAGACTTGCTGGCATTACCCAATATCAGACAAGTGCTTTTGTATCTGTGTCCTCAGTGATGTTCTCTATGCAGGTGATCATGAGTGATATTGGTCGCAATACAGAGCAAAGGAGAATAAGCGTATTTGCTAACAGATAAAAGTACCAGTTATTAATGCTTTTATTGCTCTAAGTGATCAATTTTGCTCCTGACACCTTGGGTTAATCTTTAATTGTCCTTACATTTGATATAGCACTTTTCATATCAGTAGGATGTTTAAAAGTGCTTCACAGGATGTACTGTAAAGTGAAGTGTCTGTAGTTTGTCACAAAAGCTGGATCTCATAAGACTTCTTCCCATAAATTGGAGATCTGGAAGATTTCCTTGTTGCACAGAAAATGTCACCTGCATTCAATTTATCTCTAGCATATGTTAGAGGGCAGTGAGTCCATCTGGCATCGTCTCTCTAGTGCCTTAAATGCCTTGTGTATATTTTGAATTGAATTAGTCTGAAGCTTGTGACTGAAGTCATCGATGTGTTGCATAATGTGATGAATAGATTAGATTTTTGCAATTAGAGAGATGACCAGTTATGGAGAGTCAAGGAACCTTATGACCACATTGACAAGTAGATTACTGGAAAAGGAGAAAATGCCGATCCATTGGTTTAGACTAAATGGTTTAATTTATTTTGAAATTAAAATTGAATTGGTTTGTTTTCGCAGCAGCAGTCTTACTACGGGCCTTAAAGGTTAATCATTTCAGTGCCAGGGTTTTTCTTCGTTCGTTGTGCTCTCTGTGAAATGTTTTGCATCTGTTCAAATCCTTAAGCTTCTGTGTTTTTCGCATGATTCTGTTGGTGAGATTGGTGAAGGTCAGTGATGAATGCGTAGGAGTAAATGGCACAATTATGACCCCTCGTGTTATGGTATCAGTGTGCTGTGCCAACAAGTTGCTGCTACTTATCTGTATTGTTTTACCTGTTTGATCAGATGCTATACCTGACCTGATGCTTTATTTTGCCTCTTCCATTCTATACCTATGGTTAAACGGTATAGAATAGCTATAGATATAGATGGAGGAGGAAAAATCATTTAGAATATTTTGACTGGCCCTCACCAAATTACAGACAAGGCTGGTGAAATTGGTCTCTTAGGTTCGTGATGAGGAAATGAAGAATAATAATACTCCTTGATCAACAACAACAAGATTGCATTTATATAGCGCCTTTCACATCGGGAGAATGTCTCAAAATGTAATGTGGAGTTACTGCATTTTATAGGTGAATACGGCAGCTTGAGGAATTTCACCCCATAGAAGACTGCACTATTTTCTCCATTTAATATTGACTGTTGACCCAACTGTCCAGCGCCTTGGGACGTCCTCCCGACCTGAAAGGCGCTCTATAAATGCAATCTTGTTTTTGTTGTTGATTGATCAAGAAGATAAATCAGCTATATGGAACTTAAGTGAAATAAATCCAGATAAAGCACTTGACCATAAGCAATATGGCTTTAGTGTATGTTCCTTGTAATGAACAGGTTATGATGTGCAATGTGAATTTGTACTGGTACTTGTTTATTACTGAAGCAACGTTTCTCCCAATACTGTTGATGTGTTGCAGCATGAAATGAGGTCCCAGGTTGAAGAAGATGCAGTATCATTCTACTTTTGCAAATTGTACAAGTCTACAATAAAAACAAAATACAGGTGTAATAATCATCTACTTATCATCTAAAGCCTTTTAGACGCAAAACCTCATCAGTTTAAGGGACAAAGTGGACTAGAAGAGGAGGTGCAGAGCCATTTTTGCAGGCATAGACTTGAAAGTTTGCAAGAAAAAACTGGTAAGTCAGATCCCATCAATCCCATGCATGTTATTTTCTGTTGCCGACTTAGCTAGAATTTAACTTCTTTATATGTACAATGATGATCCTAAATAGAAGTAATGGTTTATTGATCAAAAGGAATATCTTTACATTTTCATGGTGAGGAAAGAGGAAATACCAGAAATAACTATGGGGAGGTTAGATGCTTAAAAAGATGTTAACTTGAATCTTGAATCTTCCAAATGGGCTTATGGCCGTTGCATGGTATTCCTGGATGGGGTTGCTTTAAGGTATCAAACACCTGACCCTTCAGGGTAATATCCATCTTGTTCTAGACTTTCATTGTGAAGTACGTTTTGTAATTTACTGCTGTTTGCTCACACATTACTGTTTCTTTGCATGATCTTTATAAATGTATAAGTATTTAACTTTTTTGAATGCTGGACAAATTTTAAAACAATCATTGAAAAAGTATCTTACCTTGCCTACTTCCAAGAATTAGGCATCATGAAACCCAGCTTGAGACTCTCTTCATGTTATTGAATTTGTCAAAACATCAACAGTTTTGTTTTGGTTAAGCTGGATGTCTTGCCACATGCGGAAACCCATCACCATTCTTAAGAGTATTCAAGCCACTCTGAGAGTTTCACACATGCATACCACCTACACATGGACATTTCCCTTTGTCTGGAAGAGAATGAGCACTTGGAGGGAGAGCATACAGTGTAAGTTGGCAGGTGGCAAAACTTGGAGATTAACTAGCTAAAATCATAGTTTGCCATTGAGAGCACTGTATGAAAAGCTTCCCGCTACCTATCCAGCTGGGATCACCCTAGTCATTAGTGCTTTGGCTTGCAGGGTTAAGGGGAGCTTAGTGGAAAGAATCCCTGATGCCCCACTCTCTCCCTGCAAATGAGCCGGGCTGACTGATGTGTCATCAACAGTGCCCTGGAGTTCAGTGGACCCAACAGGCTCAGGAACCAGACTACCAAGACCATCACAGACAGTTGACATTTTGTTGCCAGGTTCGTCATCTTAGAGCCATCTCAGCTCCAAGGCCCTGAGTGAAATGAGTGACTGATTTCCTCGGGTTGAAGATCCACAGCACAGAGGTCATTATAAATTTTCTGTCTCATTCAGAGATAATAAGATTGGCTGTTTTGTAGAAGTGTTTGATCAGATCCATCTAAGATTGCTATCTGACACAGGCTCAAAGCACAAAGCATACTGTACAAAATTTGGCACAGATTTGTTCTAAATTGGCATCAATTGATACTAATTTGTCAGAGTATAATGGTGTGGGAAATAGAAATATCACAGCGTTGCAGAAGACCATTTGCTTGAGAACTGATTAAGCAACAGTGTTGGGGCAGAGCAGAAAGCACTTTCTTTACATCTGGCTTCTGCTATGGTGAATTCTGATCACACTGGGCTGAAATCTAACATTTGGAATGGATTCAATTCACTAAAACCTGAATAAACCTGAAACACAATGTTTTTTTAAAAAAAATAATATTTGTTCAACTATCATTATTCAGAATCATCCAGTTTAAGCCTCCCAATGCCTACAGCGTGGTAAATGCTGAACATGTTTGCGCATACTTTGGCAAACATGCCAGCACCAGAAACATCTGGCAAGGTCATGGAAAATTCTCTCTGTTGCCCAATATCGTAAAGCGGAAGAAAACAATAAAGAGGGCAATTTTCTATTAGGAGCTATGTGAAATGCTGGGATGTTTGCAATATATTGACTGTGGGGAAAAACTTATTTGTGTAGAGGGTTGGGCTTGAGGAGTTTAGAGCAATCTTAATTGCTCACACTGTGATAGGAACGGTGGTGAAGCTTCATGCTCAAACTTATATACAAAGCAGCTCTGTGTGAGCCTGGCTCAGTTGGTAGCACTCAAGCCTCTGAGTCAGAAGGTCGTGCATTCAAGCCCAAAGTCAGGACGTGGTTGTGCTGCAGTGTTGGAGGTGCCGCCCTTCGGATGAGGTGTTGAACTGAGGCCTTGTCTTACTGTTCAGTTGGACGTTAAAGAACAATGGCAGTATTTGAAAAGAGAAGGGAGTTTCTCCTAGTGTCCTGGCCAACAATCCCTCAAATAAAACTGGTCACTCATTTCATGGCTATTTGTGGGACATTGCTGTGTGCAAATTGGCTGCTCCATTTAAAAAAAAATCAAAAATGAGCAGATTCATGGATAAAATTTGGCTTAAAAAATAGTCGTCATACTTTATACAGTATATTTTGTGAAGCACTTTGAGGCATCCTCCCGATGTGAAAGGCTCTATACCCAAACGTAAGGATTATTACCTTGACTCAATCAATGCAAAGATACTGGAGACAGTAAAAATGCCTGGTACAAAGTGAGTCTTGCAGCCTCTCTTAAGGTCTATAAAGTTGAAATTGGAAAACACCAACAACACAAGTACTCACTTATTTTCAATTGTTTTATTTTGTGGCAGTTTTTCTTTTTTCAAAAAAAACAACAAAAATGAGCAGATTCATGGATAACATTTGGCTTAAAATGTTCAAATGTGCTTTTTTGGATAAACTTAAAAGGCAGTATTTTAATTTGGTGCATATAAATGTGGATAAGAGAGAGAGAGAGGCCCATAGACCAGACTAGATGCTTTTTCCATGTGCAGTTGAAAAGTGGAAGACTGAAAAATCACAGGATCTCAAGAACTGCCATGAATTGGCAAGTTTCCAAATGTTCATGTTCAAAAAAATTTGGGTTTAAAATCTTGGAATAATTTCAAAATCCTGCAATTTATAGGTGGAAAGTTATCTTTGAAGGTGAGTGATGAGAGGCTCTTTTAATGCCAATATGAGTAAAATCAATGTGCAGTGTAGAGCCCAATACAAGGGGGGCAATTCGCTAGCAGTTGGACCTGCTCTGAGTACATTGAGGTTTGACACAGATAATGATTCCCACATCTGCTGTTTTACTTTTTTTTTAAAAAGGAAAAGGTACTTCATGTCTGATTTTGTGAGTGGGATGGGGGGGGGGGGGGGGGGGTGAGGGGGGAGATGTTCTGCCTGAGTCAGTAAAAATAAGCCTGGAACACATCTGGTAGAGAATTAATGGCAATCATCCTCTTTACATGGGTGTTCCTCAGCTATTGCATAATATCATGTTTTTTCACATATATGACTCTACCAACCACTGGTTGTGGAAGTTTAGCTCAAATGTTAGCAATGTTAACCAACCCTTCAGTTTTGTACCAGCAAAATAATCTTATTTAAGAGCCAAGGGGGAAGCCTTTCGAGTGAGCAGATTATTGCCTGTACTGTAGGAAGGGGTGCTGTGATTTGTGTCAGCGTGCTTTACTACTACTAAGAGAGGACGGGATTATCACTAAGAGAACAATACCGCCTGCTTTGCAACAAGGTTTGCTGAGGCTAAAGTGCTAAAGGTAGGATTATGCCCTCAACATCCCATTAATATGCGATGCACCTAGGATTAAGGAGCAGGATAAGATAGGGCAAGGGATGTGAATCTAGAGCAGAACAGCTGTCGTGAGGAATTGTGCGATTATCTGATTAAAATTTCCTTCCTTTCAGGATGGTCTCTTCATGTGGCCAGTGACTCCCTTTAAAGTACTAATTACCATGTCAAGGTTTGGATTTTCATCCAAATGGGTGAGACAGTTTGCTACTGGTGGTGAGATGATTAAGCTTCACCACCAAAGCTGTTTGTTCAACAGTGCCCTTTATCAAACCGTACCTTTTATATTTAAACATTTTTGTCACAACTTCCCTTTTATCCCTTCCACACCAGAGGGAAAAATTACTGCCAATGGAACAGGGAAGTTGGGGCATGTGCTAGGTAAAACTCAGCCCTGTTTCCCCACTCTCACCCACATAGCATGAGGCTAGACTCACCAAGGTATAATTCTGCCTATATATGCAAAGGCACACGTCTTATTTTTTTAATTTCTAGGTGCTGCCAAAACAGGCTAGAAGAATAGTTTTGCCTCATGGCCTATTGATTTAACTTTTTTCTGGACAAAGATAATTAATGATCCTTGCATTTGATATAACAGCTTATCATATCGAAATGTCTCAAAACGCTTCACAGAGTTTTCGGGAATGTACTATAACTGTTTATTTGTGGTTATTTGTGTATTCCAAGTAAGATTGCCAATTATTTACCAGAATTCAGATGAAAATTAAAATATTCTGCTTGGAACCATCCTGCAGTTATGAGTTCCTGTACTGATGTTTGTGGTGTGCCATCACCAAAATCAGGTTTGGTTTATCCTATTCAATTGATATAAAGATTCCTAACAAGGTTTTTTTTTGTACTTTGCATTGAAGAAAAAGACCAAACGTGGGAACCTGCGAATCTGGGCGAAATCATGACCCCAAGAGAACATTTCCGCAAGATGTCGGTGCTGAATGAACAGGGCGCATTGGATGACAAGCAGCACCACCACCTCTACCAACTAGCTAATGGACTCGGGGCAGGTGGACCTCAAGGTTAGTAGTTTTGCAAGCAGAAAGAAGCCTTTATAATAATTATCCATGCATTTCATATAGCCCCTTATCGTGTCGGAAGGATTTCTCAAAGTGCTTCACAGGATTTACTATGAAATGGAGTGACAGTGTATTTGCAGGTAAATACAGCAGCCAATATTGTGCACAGCAACGTCCCACAAACAATCATGAAACAAATGACCAATTTTAATTGGGAGATTGTTGGATGAGCACCGGGAGAAACTCCCTTCTCTTTTCGAATAGTGCCATGGGATCTTTAATATCACCTGAACAGACATCCGAAGGCCAGCATTTCAGGCATTGCAACACCCCCGCCACCCAGCACTGCATTGGAGTGTCAGCTTAGACAATGAGTTCCCCTAGCATGAGATGGGAAGAACACATAGTTCTTTACACCTCTGCAACTTGAGATTGAATCAAGCCAAATATCTAGATGCACTACACCCACATACTGTAACTGATGGAGATGCTATGTGGGTGTACTGCAGAATAAAGCCGGCCTTTCTTCTTTGACATGAATCTGATGAAGACGAATAGTGATGTTTCTCTGTTTCTTCCATGAAATACTGCATCCCACAGCCCTCATAAAAAAACAGATAGCAGTTATACAGCCCCAATTAACTAAATGAATATCTCAAAGTTCTTCAACAGTGGAAATGGTGGAACTCGGGCAAGAAGAGTGGGAAGAATGTAGAGGTGACAGATGCTATCAATCTGTACAAGATTTCTGAAAGCCAAGTGAAAGATAGCGAAGGGTTCCAAATGACATAGGTGTGATTGTGAAAGATATACTGTATCTCGGGAGGACGGCAGTAGAGAAATGAGTAATGTTTTCTTTTAACATTGGGATCAGCCAGGTGAATCACACTAATGTTTTCAGTTCCGTTATTCCCATCCTCATACTGACGAAGGCACAGGTGATGGTTTCGGCAGCAGTTGTGGTGATTGAGGGTATCAATGGGTAAAATTCTTGTGAGGAATATTTCAGAGTCATTCTCTGATTATCAGTAAATTAGCAGCCTGGACAGGTGATCGATCGCCCATTGTCTGATCATTAATTTTAAGTTTGTTCTTATTCAGATATTCGGCACCGTCAGGAGATGCTGATGAGGAATCAAATGATGGTCATGAACCCTCACTCTCAAATAATAGGGTCTGGACAGCAGAGATTGCAGGCACTTCCTTCACAGTTTGAACCACGTTTTTTGGAGAGGTAACTGGAACATACCTAGTGTTCTGTATTCAGAATTTAAACCAAAATAAAGGCTGAAATGTTGCAGTGCATTGCTTTTAAAAGCTCTCACTAGTGTTTGGGTGTTGTGCATTAACTTTACAACTGTCTATGGCTACTGTGATTTTAAGGTTCTCACCCTCGCCTACAAATCCCTTCATGCCCTAGCACCTCCCTATCACCCTGATCTTCTCCTACCCCACTTCTCTGGTTCTCTGATCTCTCCCTCCTATCAGCTAACTCATAGTGCGTTCCCTCACGCTGGTGCCATAATCGATGGGCGAGCTTTCCAATTTTTGTGGGCGAAATGCGGCAGCCAATTGTCCCACAAACAGCAGTGTCCCACAAACGGTTGTGGATTGAAGTGACCAATTTATTACTGTTTATTTTTCATGAGGGATTATTATTAGGCGTGTGGAATAAGGAAACTTGCCCAAGGTTTCACCCTGCCGGGAATCAATAATAATAATCCTTGCAAAGTAAGTGCACTAACCACTGAGCTACAGGACTCTTCAGTCCAGGCCCCCTAAAGCCTCACCACTATATGAGTCTAATGCACCAATGTCAAACTAATTTTAAAAAAACTCCAGGTTTAATTAGCAGGGAATGCTATTTGAATTATAAATAGTTCTGTTTCAAATATAACCCCACCACCCACACCCACCCATACATACACAGTTATTGACAGACTTTGTTGCAGAAGCTACAAGTTGTTGATTTATACAAATCCGATGGTCTGAAACCTGAGCGAACTACTGCTCCAGAATGCCTAGAATTGTGGCTTGCGTGAATAAGAATAGAATGAGTTTGGGTCATTTTTCTGCATTCTACACACATAATTTTATTTGTTATACTATATTGTGTGTGTGTGTGTTATATGTGAGGCAATGCAGAAAATGTAGATAACAGGTGTGATGGGCCAATTGGCCCATCCTCTTATGCTTAAATATATAGTATACCAAATGCGAAATGCTACAGAACAGTAGATTTAGGGATTAATAAAGTAAGGAAGGGAGATGGGCAAAAGTTGAAAGTGCTGCTGTGTTACAAACAGGCAGGAGAACTGAAGAAAGGTATGGGTTGAATGGGTAGATGAGATGTAGAGGAAGGAGATGAAGCATGGGATCCCTACATTCCTCACTCAGCTCCTTTGATCCAGTTGTTGATGATGATAAATTTAGACTGAATGTTGCTTTTACCACCTTCTCTGTGCAGGGAGCTCCTACCCTCCTCTGAAATGCTTCCTTCAGCTGATGCACGGCAGATGCACCTGAGCTCCCAACTAGGACCGCCAGTCCAGACGCACACAAACACCTTACCTAATTGTGCCTACCCAGGAGCAGGTAAAGGGTGCAGCCATTTGGGAAATATACTTGCATGAGGTGCCTTCACTTTGAATGCTGTGTTCTTCAGGAAGGCCGACGGGTTGTATTAACATTAAAGTATGGGTGAATAGAAAATCTGTGATGGGTGTGTTTAAAGTGGAAAACAACAAAGGGCTGAGTGTACATACTCTCTCAAAGTGTTTGTTCCTAGTTTGTTTTAAGTGTTTTTAGTTTGTTCATCATTATGTGATGTTAGTTTTCTTGTAAGATATGCTCTTGGATATACCAAGTATCAGAAAGCTCTGATCCAACGCCTAAAATTCCAACTAGTCTTAGCCTGGAAGAGCATTTTGTCTTAAAATGTTAGGTTGTGCAGAAATTTTAAATACTTAAATCCATTGCTAAGTAGGATGCTATTTAAGATTTGCAGAAACCAGTTTCAAAATTAAGAATAAATATAAATTTCAAGAGAGAAGTAGATAGATATTTGGGAAGGACAAATTTGCAGGGCTATGGGGAGAGAGTGGGGGAGTGCGACTAACTTGGACAACTGTTTCAAAAGAGCCAGCGTGGACACAATGGACTGAATGGCCTCCTTCTGTGCTGCATAATTCTATGATTCCATGATGATTGTGTGATCTCAAAAGTTAAGACAATATGGTCTTGCATCTATGTTCTACCAAAACAGATTTCTACAGCAACCAACCTGTTATAACTGATAACTTTCTATATATTTTCTCTAAGGGTATAGCTTTTTGCAGCCTAATGCTATGGATTCTCTCACCAGACGCCAAGAACTGATCCACAAGCAAAATCTAGCAAGGTGCGTGCAGGCTCAATAGGTGGTTTGTGCTATTAACCCTCTTAATTTTCAGGTTATTTGTGCTCCTAAATTTACTCTTCGTGACTTTTTTTATTTTTTAAGCAGGCTTGTGAAGAATAGGAAAGTATATAATGCTGCATCACTAGTGTAAGTGGCTGGGATGTCAGTATTTGAATGGAAATTCTTCATTTTTAAAAGATTCTCCCCTTCACAAAAGAGTCAAAGTATTTTGTGCAAAAAGAGTACTGCATAGATTTGGAGGACAAAATTATAAACTAAGGAAGCCATTTAGCTTAAGGAATAACTTTTTCACACTTAATGCTGTTGTATGTGGGAGGCACGTTACACTGTCTAGACTAATGACTACTCAGATGATGCAATGAGAAACTAGTTGGATCATTTCACATTTATCGAGCAGATTTGTTTCAGGATAATAATAATCTTTGCATTTGCGACAGCACATTATTGCATCATCATGATGCAAAGTGGTTTGCAGGACTTTTACTGTGAAGGTTAGTGACTGTATTTGTAGGGTAGAACAACTTTCAAAATTCACATCTGACTGAGAAAAGAACTCATATCTCTATACAGTCTTATCATATCAAAACATTTTAGTATGTCAAGGCTAATTTGTGTCCTGTATAGTGGTTGTATTTGTAGGCAAATATACTGGCCAGTAAATTCTCACGAACAGCCATGTCGCCAATGTTCTATCTAAAACGATGCTCCAAGCATACTCAACCTAATTAAGCTATCAAAATTCTACTACAACTTAATGACACCAAAGTAAAGAATATGTTGTGCTCATACTACTTGCTTCATGCTTGTGCTAGCACTAGTAAACAGATATTAAATTCCATAATAATGGAATTTTTTTGCTGTGTCAACAAAGGAAAAGGTTTATGTAACTTGTTCGCCAAGGAGATCTTTTAAAATCTTAAGGAGTTGAATTTGTCATTCCAGGTTGGAAATGAATGCTCTTCTCCAACAAAAAGAACTGGAGAACGCTCATCGGAAAGGGCTGTTGGGAATGGAGGCACCCCTAATTTATTCTGGCATTTCAGCAAACCCCATTACATTCCACAACAGACACAGACTACCAGAGGGTCACCTTGCCAGCGAAGCATTCCTCCATCGAAACACACTGGATGATATAAACGCTGGCAATAGCTTGCTAATCACATCCAATCCATACCCGCCAATCAGCACCTTGCACAGGGACAGGAGTCGGCGAGGTGGGAGGAGGGCGGCCAGCCAGAAGAGTGTGGACAGCAACCTGAATAATCCCAAAGGACAATTGGAAAGTAAGTCAACGGAACTGCCCACCGAGCCGATGGAGAAGGAGGCTGGGGATGAGTACGATTCAAAGATGGACACCTCGGCCAAACCAAACCAAACCAAAATGGGCACCAGTTCGTCGCTGCCTCCAGTCCCAAATAAGAACCACAAAGAGCAAGAGCTGAGGAAGCACAAGGGTAGCAATGAAGGCTGTCTGGAAGCAGCCAACTGCAACCCTGCATGTGGTACAACTGAGAAGGATTTGCCCAATAACTGTGCCGCTTTTGATGACAAGTTTATGTTCCCTTCTACAATGCCTCTGCCCACGTTGCCTTATGGCTTTCAGCTATCAACAAATCAATTTATGCCATTAGGTAAGGAATTGTTTTCTAATGCAAAGTATGTTTTGAGTTTTACTTCAATTGGTTCTTCCATTTACATCAGATGAGCTGAGGATTTAGGGTGGATGTGCATTGTTGTAATTACCACTGAGTGACTTTGCTGGTTTGCTCTGCAGGATCTCACGGAATGTTCGTACCAGGAGAGGAAATATCCATTGAGGACATCCGAAAGTGGAGTATAGAGGATGTTTATAATTTCATCAATATCCTCCCAGGCTGCTCCGAGTATGCTCAGGTGAGTGATTTGATCTGTGTAAGGCTAAATTAAAGCAGCCTTCCATTGAATAAGTTGAACCTTATTACATGCATCTTCCTATGACAAAACCTGTAGTTTCCCTGTCCTTTTGGAAGCTCTGTTAGTCAATAAACAACAATATAAGAGCCATGTTATAAGAGTGAGAAAGAACTTGACTCCAAATCTCTAACTGTCCAGGGCCTGAGGACGTCCCTCAATGTGAAAGGCGCTATACAAATGTAATTTATTGTTGTTATTGTTGCTGGTTTATAGAAATGGTACTCCCCTAAACTTAAATTGGGGGAGGAACAAAATGTCATCTAATGGCCTAATTCTTTTTATTCTATTTATTGGGGATTTTGTTTAATCATTTGGTTGTTTGTGCTAAGGAATGAAACACTTTTAAACTTCTTTTTCAAACTGCAAGACCTTCAAAGATCACGCCATTGATGGAGAGACCCTTCCTCTACTGACAGAAGAGCATCTTCTGGACATCATGGGGCTGAAGTTAGGACCTGCACTAAAAATCCGCTCTCAGGTACATCCACAGTGTCACCCACTGCCTGTGGCAGGTGGTCAACAAGATGACTGAATGATTGACTCCTTTGAGATACAAAATATCTTTTTTTTGATCTGCTGGGTGTCTGACACATGCGGAAACCCATCACCAAGCTTAAGAGTATCCAAACCAAGCTGAGAATTCTATGCGTCCTACCTACACATGGAAATTCCAGAGATAGATGTCTTACTTCCATGCAGAAATGCTTAACTTAAAACGTAACTTTTCTTTTTCTCCCATCAGCTTGAATGTAAGGAATAGGTTTGTCTTGCTAGCTATGAAAAATAGCTTTGCAGATCAATAATTTGTCACGTGGTTAGCAACATAGGGAATTACTAAGAGGAGAATGCCCTTTGGCATCAAACCCACTCCACCATAGACACTCATGCTGTTCATTTTACAATCTTCCCTAATCCCACTTCCCAATTGTATCCTTATCCTTCCCCTATCTTTCGGTTAAATCCCTCCACTAAATAAGTGACTTTGATTGGAAGCAAACCTATCCTTCTCCCCTACCTCTGTAATCAATGGATGGATATAATTTCTTTAAATCCCGTTTCAGGTGTCTCGACGCATAGGCAATGCACTATATGTGATGAACCTGCCTATCTCTGTGCCTCTGCAGAATGCAGTGAGTAAACCCATAGATCAGTCATCGGATCCAATGTCCCCTTTGAATTCCAGCGGTGGCATTGATCTGCCTGCGAGCCCCTGCACACAAGACCAGGAAGACCTAAAATTGGCGGAAACGAGCACAGCGGGAAAAACAGAGCATCCCTCTGAGGCCAACTTGTAAAACTTCAGGAACAATTGGATTGAATTGTTGAGCTTGATTCAACATGTTTTCTTGAGAATTTTGTTAAATGTGTGTTGCAAACCTTAGTGACTTTTTTTTAAAAAAAAAGAAAATTATAGATGGGCTCCTTTTATCTGTAATTCCGTTTGTAAAGCGATGAGTCGTGAATTGGAAACCCCCAATAGCCTGTAGTTTGCTTCTGTTGAAAAAGTTCTCATGAATATGAAAGTTAACTGAGGATAAAGAGCCAATTGTGTATCAGCAATTTAACCCTACAGTTGTTGGATCTGTAGGTCAAATAGAACATTTAAGTTAATGCCATCATTCTGTGACAAGAATTTGACATAAGTTTGTAGTGTTGTATAATTTGCTATAATTTCACTTCTTTCTCCATCGTTTGCTTCAAAACTTCTCCCAATGTAATAATAATCCTTGCATTTGATATAGCACCTATACTGTCAATGTCTCAAAGTGCTTCACTGGGGATTGCTGTAAAGTCTAGTGATTGCAATTGTAGATGAACGTGGCAACCAATGTGGGCACAATATCCCACAATCAGCCAGGTTCAATGTTATCTGGAGCATTGTTTATCAAGGGAGAAATATTTGTTGCTTTGATAGTGTCACAGGATCTTAACATCCACATGAAAAGTCAGGCAGAACCTTGATTTATCACCTGATCATGATTCCTTCTCTTCTGCTCCCAGACTGCCTAAAATGGGGCACACTAGATAATACCAGAGTAGTTGGTGACTACAGAAATGCTGGCAATACTTGGGATCACTACCAAAACCTAGATCAAAGTACGAGAACAGGTGGTGGAACTTGAAACAAAAAAGGGTTTCAAAAAGGAACCAGCAAAATCCTGACAACTAAAAGGATTCTAGATCATTGTATTTAGAGATTGATATTCCAGAGGAAAATTGGATGGGTAGGCTCGAAGGATTGATGATCTATGTCTGAAATTGTTACTATGTTAGGATCTTTCTCTTTCTGATGATAACAGACTCACCTGTGCATCGCTAGCATTTTCTCCTTTGTTTCTCCTTTGTTTCCAGCATTCAACATTTCTTCCTATCAGCATTCATTTTATTTTGGGATAAAAAGTTTGCCACTCCTGTAGTTTGTAACCTATAGTTCAACTGTCAAATTGGGAGTTAGGTCTCAGTCAGATACCAGACTTAGCTTTATTGTTGAACACAAATAGTGTTTGAAGATGAGTTCAATTAACTGGTTCATCGATCAACCTGTGGCCACTTTTGTTGCTTTTGTTCACTAACCTTGTGGTTACTATAATAATGTAATCGCGAGAAGGGGAAAAAACTGGCAATAAATTTTTGTTTTGTATGTAATTTCTGAAGACATATTGATTTATTTTGTTCAGGCATATAAATTCAAGGCTACAAATGTTCAGCTTTATCTCGATCATCTGCTCCCAAGAAAAAATTGTATTGTGACCTGTGACCACTTACATTAATGCCGATTATCATTATTGCATTAGGGAGTCATCAAAATGAAGTTTCATTTCTCTTGGAGTATCTTCCACCTTCACTGTGACTCAGAATTAAGAAAAACAAGGGTGAGGCTAAATTAGACAAGAGAAAGTAATATTAAAAGTGAGAATGAAAAGATGATAGGGCCAGCAGAATTTTAGAACTAAACTGCTTTTAATTTTCTAATTTAGAGTACAATTTAGATTTGAAACTCCTTATATTTGAATATCTTCATTGTTCTTTATCTGAAGGACATATTAACTGAGCGAAATCTCAGCAACAATTTATTTGCAGACACTGTTGCTTCACTGTCTCTTCTGCCTTTTGGCAATACATGACAGCGGTCACAAGAACCATGCTAAAATATTGAAATGTACAGCTGCATAGACACATGATTCCGATTGCAAACCTAGGTTTTTCAAAGCAGATGATGTTTTGGCAAGTTCTGTCCCATCCACAAAGTACACATGCATCCTATTTTAATCCCAGTATGCAGTAGTTTCTATGTGTCCAGAGTATATTCAGCCAGTGATTCCCCCAGGAATCCATGAAACTCTTGTAAAATCTTGGTTGCCTCCTTTGAATCCATCTTGTCCTGAGACAGTGAATCTGGATAATTTAAGTAGGAGAAAATCTCAGCAAAGACCCTCACAATAGGTCTGTGGAAGGAATAGGTTTTATCGGCCAAATTGTCGTTTCTTGTTTTATGTTCGCCTATGACTAATTTCTGCCAGTAGATGGAGGTACTTTGCACCGGTCCTATAAGAATCATGTTTAATTTGTTACAATGATCCTTACATTTGATATAGTGCCTTATCACATCATTAAGACGTTTCAAAGCCCTTTTTTCAAATAGTGCCGTGGGATCTGTAACGTCAACCTGAACAGGAGAAGAGACCTTGGCCTAACCCTAAGCCTTTGTCACCTCAAGGCTGGACTATGGGAACTCTCTCCTCGCCGGCCTTCGCGGCACCGCCCTCCACAAGCTGCAGGTCATTCAGAACTCTGCAGCTCGTGTACTGTCCCGCACCAGGCTTCGGGACCACATCACTCCTACCCTCGCTCACCTCCACTGGCTCCCCATCCCCCAGAGGATTGATTTCAAGATCCTCATCCTCACCTACAAGGCCATTCACGCATTGCACATCAGCCCCACCCTGGACAACAACAACAACAACAGCAGCAGCAGCAACACCTGAGGGCATCACAGGCACTGTGAGCACCAGCAGAGGGGGCGGGGCTGAGGCCGGGATGGATGGATGGAGGAGGCGCGCCCCCAGCGCTCGCTCCCCGTCTCGCCGTTAGGCGGCGCTACAGCAGCGGCAGCAGCAGCAGCGTGTGTGGGGGGGCGGGGCCAAGGGTGGGGGGGGGCGGGGCCGGGCTGCCTCTCGCGAGGTTTTGATGCGGGTCCGTTACACGTCACTCGGGCTGGAAACATGGCGGAGCGACGGAAGCAGAAGAAGAGAAGCCAGGTGTGTGTGCGGGCCCCGCCGGCCCCCGCAGCTAGGCCGGGAGAGGGGGGGAGGAGAGGGGGGCTGAGGGGAGGGGGGCTGAGGGGAGGGGGGCTGAGGAGGGGGGGGCTGAGGGGAGGTCTAAGGAGGGGGGGCTGAGGGGAGGGGGCGCTGAGGAGGGGCGCTGAGGAAGGGGGTCTGAGGAGAGGGGGGCTGAGGAGAAGGGGGGCTGAGGAGAGGGGGGCTGAGGAGAAGGGGGGCTGAGGAGAGGGGCTCTGAGGAGAGAAGGGGGGCTGAGAGGAGGGGGGCAGAGAGGAGAGGGGGGGCTGAGGAGAGGGGGGTCTGAGGAGGGGTCTGAGGAGAGGGGGGTCTGAGGAGAGGGGGGTCTGAGGAGAAGGGGGGCTGAGGAGAGGGGGGCTGAGGAGAGGGGGGCTGAGGAGAGGGGGGGCTGAGGAGAAGGGGGGCTGAGGAGAGGGGGGGCTGAGAGGCGAGAGAGGGTATTTGACTAAGGAAGGAATGATGGAGATTGGCTGTGAGGGGTTTGGTTCGGGGATAGTCCATTGCTCAGAGTGAGCCCATGTTATTGCTCTCTCTCTCTCTATCTGCATATGTTAGTATCATCATCCACATCACTGTTGATGAATAATGATGGCTTGGATTTCAATATTTTGTTTTGATTGGAACTCCCCCATTAGCTTAGGTTCTTAAAACTAAACCCATGTCCCCCCCCCAACCCCCCCACTGGTGTTACTGCTGGGTTAGCACATCCAGATGTGCAATCACTTTTTAAATTAAAGGCTGTGTTCTTGCATTCAGTCTCAGAGCAGAGTGGAATAGTTTTAAATTGAGTAGCAATCATTTGATGCATTACTACTAACAAGTGCATGTTGTCACTTTTAAAACACACAGTCTCCATCTCGCTTCTCCTTAGAAAAAGCAGAAGTTGTCGATGCCCTGAGTTGCTGCTCAGAGGTTAGGGTCAGGAGATTGCTTGATCCTACCTGTTTTGATGGATATTTTTGTGCAGTTATGGCTTTGAGAATATTTTTAAATGTTTACGTTTGGAATACAGCAACATATGTTTTAATGTTTAATAAAAACGACTGGATGTGGAACATTTTATAGTTGGCACCAGGTTTTGAGATGCATTCACATGTCAGGTATTGTGCGGGAATGGGCTAGGTACAGTGAAAAGCATTCTGTACTCTGCCCAACATTGAGGCTTAGTTTAAGACTCCAAATTTCACACATCCTTGAATGAGGCTTTCTTAATTATTGTTTAGTCAACTTATTTTGCATCGTACTACATCTTTACACCCAGCTGGGAAAGATGTTTGCTTTGAGTCTGGCCTGGAATAAAGCCTAGGTGCCCATCCAAACTGTTGCTTTCAGTAAATGATCTTAGTCACTGCCTGTTGGGGTTATTTTCTGAAATTGAAAGATCATTGTAAGTGTATTCAGATGTTTGCTGAGAACTGAGGCAATCTGCTGAAGCTGGAACAAGAGTACTGCTTCAACATTTCGCTGTTTAAATTATGCTGTCTCCGATACTTTAAAGGAACTATCCTGTTTTGGTGCATGCAAATGATATAGAGATTGAAAAACGTTTTTTGAAAAAACTGCTGTTTCTACACCCTCTGTATACACCCTACCTCATTTAATGCCTTTGATCACTGTTGCCCCCCCCCCCCTCAATTTGCTGCAGAATTTACCTTCTTTTGTGGAATGTATTTAAAGAATTCTGAATAGCTATTTTGGCATACTGTTTGCTGTATGGATGTACTGCATGAAACTACGGTTCAGTGTTAAATAATCCCTTCCTCTGCTGGGTAGAAACCCAATGTGTGCAGTCAGGTCTTTGTACAGTAGAAATTAAATAGATTAATCAATCATAAAATACATACTCTTTAAGAGAAATATAATAGTTCTCAAAGAGTTAAACTCTGGGCGAAAGTATTTTGTTTACTGTATTACATTAAACTTTACTGTTAATGCTTCCAGCATTCCCTGACACAGTAAATTATGGGAATTTGTGCCAGCAGGCTTCCATTTACCTATTCCCACAGTCAGCTCATGCAGAGTAGAATTATCCAGAGTAAATGGCTGACATCCAGCCTCCTTTGTTGATATCTGCATGATATTTACCTGCTCCTTTTCTATTTGGCAAAGATCATTTTTCTTCAGAACATTTGTGCAGTTTACTGCCAATCTGTAAGATCACTGTTTCAGTCAGGCTGCTTTCTGATTTAAAATAAACCGCTCCATATCATTTATTAAGAAGTTATTGAATTTACATGCATGATCCTAAATGTGCAATTTGATGGATGATCTCATTGTGCAAACCTTGCATATCTGTGTACACATTCCTGGAATAACAAAATAGTGCTGAATATTTTCAAATGCTGCTACCCATCCATCCAAGCAGTAGCCCTTGGGTTCTATTAAGTGGAGTTGATGAGCATTCAGATTAAGGTATAGTTTACACTTCACACTTTGCAGTTGATTCTGGATTAGAAACACAGACATTTTCTGCAAAGAAAGGAATCGTTTGGCCCAGCATGTCTGTGGCTGTGCTACCTGTTTTCCTAAATCACCCTTTATTTTCTGGGAACAAGTTATTCTTGGATGAGCACCGTAATCCATTAAGTGATAAATATTGGAAAATTGGGGAACTTTTTTTTTCTGTACTCTAAAATGAATGGGAAATGGCTTGGTTCATTGGAATTTAGTTGGGTCCTTTGGAATTATATTCAGTGGAAATGAATGGGCAGCAATTGTTCAATTGGGGAGTTAATGGCAAATGTTTTTTGGTCATTGGAATTATATTAATTGGAAGTAAATGAGAAGTTATAAATCAGGTTCAGATGACGTCCAGTCAGTCACCAATGTCGCTTCTATTCTGCCACAGTTAAACTATTACTCATTTAGTACTGTCTGTCAGAATAGATCCAGGGGGATTTTTATGACTGCTTCCTCCATTATTCACTTACAGCTGTTCTTAAGTACCAGAAGGCACCTACTTTTCTGCTGTCCTTCTATATGACTTGTTTTCAGAATGATGAGCTAATTTAAATACATTCTTACCCACTGCACTAAGAGTTGGTAGCATTGCAACATAATCCGAGCTTCCAAGTGAGAAGTAGCTGATGAGTCAGCAGTGTGTATGAAAATTCATGTCATTATGTCTTCCCAAAGCACAGTCTAATTGAAGAAGACCTTGAGGAAGACATAGAAATAAATCTTTAAAATATCAAGCTTGAGAGAGCAATCATAATAATAATCCTTGCATTTGATATAGCGCTTTTCACGTCGGGAGGACATCCCAAAGCGCTTCACAGAACACACTGTAAAGTGAATTGACTGTATATTTGTGGGCGAACGCGGCAGCCAATTGCGCACAGCAATGTCCCACAAACAGTCGTAGATTGAAAATGACCAATTTATTATTGTTTTTGGTTTTGGAGGGATTATTATTAGGTTCTGTGTGGAGTAAGGAAACTTGCCCAAGGTTTCGCCCTCTGCCTGGAATTGAACTCAGGTCTCTCACTTGCAAAGCGAGTGCTCTAACCACTGAGCTACAGGACTCCAATGGTTTAATTTTTAAATGAATTGGTGTGTAGAGGAGAAAAGGCATTATTTACGAAAGATGAAGATTTTTCTGCTGTTTATCTCTGTAATTTTAAAATGTTAATTTACTTTTGAAACTTCCTATTTATCTGTTTTTTTATAAATTGCCTTTTGACTTAATGTTTTAAAAGGTCTGTTTAGCTCATAATATTTACAACTTTACCTGCTGTGCTTATTAAATCTATATTTTGTGTGGCTGGCTTTTTAATAGCATTCCTGCACAATATTTGCATTTTGCCCAAAAACTACACAGTCAATCCACTTTACAGTGTATTCTGTGAAGTGCTTTAAGTCTCAACGATGTGATAAGGTGCCATATCAAATGCAAGGATTATTATTATAATATTTACAGGTCTCTGATCGCGCACAAAATATTCAGTTTGTACCTGAAGATCTTCGACTGTGCCTTTGGTCATCTCCCAACTGTCGTGCTCTGCCACTTTCAAGCACTCTGGGATGCTACCCTGCATGAGGGGTGCTATATAAATGCAAGTTGTTGTTGTTATAATTAAATGAGTCAGAAAAATCTCTGTCCAGATCCTACAATTTCCCACGATACAATTTGTCATTGATCATCAATATCTCTTGACAGGTCACCCAGATGGCTGGTTTGTCATGGATCTGCCACAATAGGGGAGAGGTGTCCTTCACAGAGGTTAAAATTATGGAGCATTATTGTGGCAGAGTAGGAGTTCTCCTTTCTGTTATTTTCTAATTGGTAAAGTCTGAATTCCACACATGAAAGTAGCAGACTTTCAAGCGTCGTGTATCAGCAAGGTACTTGGAAGTCTTTCTGACATAGCAAAATGGCAAAGTATTCGGGTCTTTAGCAATAGGATCCATAAATAGATCAACACAAAAAAGTCACCCAAAGATTATAAAGGTATAAATTTCCACTAGTTTGCAAGTGATCTGCTTACAGTCATTGTTAGCAGTCGGTAGTTTTGATGGTGAATCTAAGCACTCTGAGTGAAGGGCATTAAACAAATGCAAGTTGTTGCTAGTCCACGTACTAATAAACTCACTGCTATTATTAATAATAATCCTTGTATTTGAAATGGCATCTTTCATGTCGGGACAGCGTCTCAAAGAGCTTCATTTAATTTCCTATAAAGTGCAGTGACTGTATTTTGTAGGCAAATGTATCTCTGACAAATACTTGTCTCTGCTCGAGTCCATTCTGGTTAATCTGTTATATTTTCCTACCTCCCATCCTGATTGAATATTGTCCCAAAAGTGACCTGTTTTAAGAAAAATGCCGAATGTACCCGTTGAATCTTGTTGGGTGGATCTGAGTGAGATTACTGGCCCAACCCATTAATGTCAGTCCAGAAGTCCAACATTAGGTTCAGCTGTGGACATTATTTATCGCACCATTGATATCTTCAGCTGCTATCTGTTCAGATTTTTTAAAATGCTGAACAGATATCTAATCTTATTAGGTAGGATTATAAGGGTTGTGTCAGTGTGATCAATATTTGGTGGAAATAATTCAGGTCTCTTGCTAAGATTAATAATGCCATTCAGCATTTCTGTTGATATAGCATTCCAGGACTCCATTGATATTTTGACAAGTTCTATCGCACTAGATTCCCTCTAGAATGTGAATCAAAAATGTTTGTTCAGCTGTAAGAAAGTCAAACGTCACTCTTTGCGGTATAGACACTGTCTCGTCAGTGTTTTAAGCGAGGGACCTGGACTAGATGCAGTGTGTAGGCGATATCTCTATCCCAGCACTGGCAACATTCAGTTTGCAGGCATGTGAATGTAAGCCTCAATCACACATTAGCTGGAATTGACGTCTCTATTCTAGTGCCAGCTATATTCAGTGTGTACATTCTGTTTATCCATCTCCATTCCACTGGTCGCTGCATTCAAGGTGTGTGACTGTGCATGCTGTATACGCCATTCTAGTATTCAGTATACATGTAGTACAAGCCTCATCTCCCTCTCATTTCTCCCCAATCCCCCACCCCACCAGTTCCTAGTACCAAATGGTATCATAATATATTTACTCAATAAGTATTCAGTAATTTTTGTGAATCACAACTTTTTATTTCTACTATGATAACTTTCAATTTCTAAAGCAAATCCTGTCATCTCATTCGTTCAGAAAATATAATCTTATAGTCTCCAGTTCTTTACAGCTATTTAGATTCAGATCCGTTTCAGATCCTTGTAGGGACTTTACTCCTATTTCTATTTGCATTGAGTCTCTTCACCAGTAATGGGATGTTGTGTTTGGTGCATCTTTCGGTCTTCTCTTCATTATCCCTTATACGTACTATATACTTTACTTAAAAATATATATGCGAAATAATGTATTGGTTCATGTGTTCTCTGTTGTCTGCAATATTCAATTTTGTTTCTATTGTTGCAGTTTCTTTTTTTCCTACAATTTTATCAATTTAGTTCCCTCTGCTCTCTGAAGTCCCTGCTGGACTTTCTCTGAATAATTCCAGCTGCTTCTCTTTTAAATGTTTACCATTGTGAACTTTATGTTCAATTTATTCTTTGGGAGGAGGAGGAAAGGAGAATGAGTGTTCTGCTACTTTTAATCAGTCAGTTCACAAATTCCAGATGCACAACCCAGATGTCGACATGAGTGTTGATGAGGAAGCTGCAGGTATGACCACCTCCTGCAGGCTATCTCTGCAAAAGCATTGATTCTGTATTAACAAAAAGTTGGTGAAATTTGGGCAAAGAACTCAGATTCTCTAATGCAATTATGTTCAAGGTTTCTTTGTGATTTGACATGATGTGCAACATGAGGTGCAGTGTTGCAGAATAAGGAGGAAGTTCTTCAAATGCAAGAACTTTCATGTGCGCAACTATCAGCAATAAATCGGCAACCTCTTTATATGAATGGCCTATTGTATTAAAATGTATGGCAGAAATGATTTCTTCTGACTGTGCTCATCGTGCAAAATCTTTCTTTTCTTAGGAGGTTGGGGAACCAACCAAAGACGAGAAAGCAGTGGCTAAGTACCTGCGCTTCAACTGCCCAACCAAGTCTACCACCATGATGGGCCACAGAGTTGATTATTTCATTGGTAAGATTGCAGCTAAGAAAAATAATATGTCCAGCTACAGCACACACGCACACACACAATAATGATCTTTGAATTTGATTTTGCACCTTATCACATCTTCTAGACGTCTCAAAGCTCTTCACAGAATACACTGTAAGGTGAATTGACTATATTTGTGAGTGAAACGCGGCAGCCAATTGCGCACAGCAGTGTCCCACAAACAGTCATGGATTGAGTGACCAAATTATTATTATTTTTAGGTATTATCCCCGGAAAAATGATCCACCAATTGACTAACAACTGGGTTCCTACTTACTGCTAGGTAAACAAAGGAGTGTGGAGTAAGAAAACTTGCCCAACATTTTGGCTGCCGGGAATATAATCCAGGTCTCTCACTGGCGAGGCGAGTGCCCTAATCACTGAGCTACAGGACTCCATATCTGTGTGAATCTAATATCTTCTCATTAGAACTAGAATTTAATAGACATAGAACTGAATGCTCAGGCAAAGATCTGATAATTTGGGAATGGTTATAAATGTTTTGAAGTGTTCTGCCAGTTTAAATAAATCCTATATGCAGGAGAGCCTCTCCAGGTAACTGCCAGCATCCTTTTATATTGAAATATAATTTCTTCTGAATATGAAAAGGATTATTGAAAGTAAAAGGTACTATAATGTCCATTTTTAAGCACACAAATATGTTCCTCACTATAATAATGGGTGCATCTTGTATTTGCAGAACTAGATCCAGCTAAACTATAAGCAGGGAAGAGGAAGAATATCACAGCTGGAATAATCTGAGTTCAGTGGCCTCTAGATTTGTTACATTGGAATGCAGTTGAATAATCCCACTTTACTATTGAGGCTGACTAAATCCCCAAAACAGGCCAGTTTATTGATTGCCCGTCATCGTGAGTTCACACGATATTTGTTCTGCATCAGTTGAATCATGGATTATTTCTGACGTGAGTTCTGGATTGTGTTCAGAATGCGAATGAGCAAGGTTATAATTTTTGCCTTTCAGCTTCCAAAGCAGTGGACTGCTTACTGGATTCCAAGTGGGCAAAAGCAAAGAAAGGTCAGGAAGCTTTGTTTACAACCAGGGATTCAGTGGTCGAGTACGGCAACAGGTTTGTTGCAGCATTTGTGGTCTCTGCTGTGTGATGCTTTTTGATATTTTTTTCTCCAGCTTTTACAGAATGTTCGCAGTATTCCTCCCTGAAGGGAACAACTGGGAAATAGCATTTCTTATGCTTTTGTACTAGAAGTACTCAAACAAGAAATGGAGCAGAATTGATCATAGAGAGGTTTGGCTAAAGAAGGCCCTTCAGCCCATTTGGGCCCTCCAGAATACCAACTTTATCTGCCCATTACAGCATCTGTTTGTTTCTTAAATGACTCCAGTGTCCTGACTCCTAACATTCTGTGTTACCTGTTCCAACTGTTGATTACCTTTTTGTGTAAAATAATACGTCTTAGTATCTACCCTAAATTTATGCTCTCTTGACATACTGACTTGACGTACCATGATTTGGGCTTACCTTTACAATTCTGTTTAACATCTGATAAGTTCATCATTCGAACTTGGAATAAGCACCCCTCAGAGATGCCTCGTTTCAAGACTGAAGAGCCCTAGCTTATCTAATCGTTCTTCATAGCTCATCCCTGACACTGGGATCAGCCTTGTTTGTTTCGTGAGTGTCAATATAGTGTCAGTAAGAGATTAAACTCCCCAGTAAGAATGAAAAAAAATAATTGTTAAGCACTTTGTTGTCTGTGGATAGACTACAAATGAGCAGAAAGCTTGTACATTTTTTTAAAATTACTCTTGATAGACTAGTTGATTTTGCAATGCTCTATTGGTTGTAGCATATTATCCAAATCTATTGTTTAGTGCAGTTGTGTAGTTGTATTCCATTGATCTTCCAATTATCCTGATCTCCAAGGTAATTGGGTATTTTTCTCTAACCAGGAGGCCGTGGTTGCCTTAAGAATACAGTACCCTTGAACAAATGTACTTAAACATAAAATATTTATTTTCTTTAATTTTGACAGGCTCCTTAAGAAGCAATTCTTCCACAGAGCATTGAAAGTGATGAAAAAGAAGCCTGAAAAGGAACTCAAAAAGGAGAAAGGAAAAAGTGAAAGCGGAAAAGAGGAAGAAAAGAAAAGTAAGAAGGAAATTGTGAAAGATGAGAAGAGTAAGAAGGAGAAAGAAAAGAAAAAGGACACTGAAAAAGAGGAAATCAAAAAAGATAAAAAAGTAAGCAATGCATTTCCTAAGTCCTTTATTCCTACTTTAGTATTTACCTTGTATCCCTCATTAGTTAGCACCTTTTAGTTTAATTATTCCCACTGGAACGTATTGAGTTAATGGAGAATTTTAATGCTTTACATGACTTGGATCCTGAGTTTTATGATTTAAACTTGTAATCAGAAGCAGCCTGGGAGCTGACATTTTATGTCAAGATCCTGTTCACTCACAACAGTTGACAGCCCTTGACTGCTTTTATTTAGAGAAGGTGAGGTGAGACCAGCGAGCTGCAGTAATAAAGCAAGTGGCTTTGACTAGGACAGACTCAAGACTATTTTGTATATTAAACTGAAGGCTCTTGGAACAGGAAATGGTGACATAAATATCACCCTTTATAATGTTGTTTGTTGTATAGAAACTCAGTTGCAATTTTACAAGTGTTTATACTAGTACAAAGCCAAGATCAGTAGGCTGTAGGTTTTAGTTATTTTACTTAGTTTGCACTGTGTTGCATGTTTTGAAATGAACTTTTGTACAGTATTAACATTTGATTTTGTCTTCTCAGGAGGAAGCTCCAGGAACACCAAAGAAAAAGAAAGATGCGAAGAAAAAATTTAAACTGGAACCGAACGGTGATCAGATTTTCATTGATGGAAATGAGGTATGGGTCATCTTTAGAAAATCCAATGGTTTTGCAGTCTCTAATCTAACCAGAGGATTGTACTTTTTAAAGCAATTCCAGGTGAAATAGTGCATCAACAGTTACATTCTAAATTAACTGGTGATCTGCGTCTTCATCAAATCTCCTGTCTAATGCAGTATAAACATGGAGCAGTTTTACATGCAGAAATTGTCAGGATGGGCTGACTGAGGCCCATTAGTTTAGTGCAATTTTACTCATTCCCACAATGCCATTTTGCGTACAACCTGCACACATTTCACAATGCAGCCTTTGAAATCTTTACTTTGCAGTGAGACCTTAGACAATCTGTATGATTTTACGCAGGTGTATGTATGGATCTATGACCCAGTTCACTTCAAGACATTTGCAATGGGACTTATATTAGGTAAGTGGCGTAATGTAAATCAAAGTGGAATGGAATGTAATGAATGTATTTGAATTCTCTTGAGTGAATACCAGTTTGTTTCTTTTTTCTACGTCTAATTGAGAGCTAGTAGGTTGCAATTCTTAGCTTCCATTTCTGAATGAAACCATGTGGTTCAGAGTGAATGTTACCACCCTGAAATATCTTACCTTTTAGAATTGTATGTTTAGTTCTGTGAAAATGAGAGCTCTCGAGATCTGTGTATATCTGAAACTGGATTGTATTTACTGATTCTGAGCTTTGTGTTATTTTGATTGTCAGTGATTGCAGTGATAGCTGCCACTTTATTCCCCCTCTGGCCTGCTGAGATGAGAGTGGGTGTTTACTATCTTAGTGTTGCAGCAGGCTGCTTTGTTGCCAGCATTCTCCTCCTCGCTGTAGGTGAGTATAGACTTGTGTTAAATATCTTGTATATTGAAGAATAACCAGCATGAGTACCACTCAGTAGTAACTAATAGTAACCAACATAAACATGTTTCTCCTGCAGCTCAAACACTGTTATTGTTATTTTCTTACGTTTTCATTTTAAATTGATGAGACCATCTAGAGGGTAAGGAAAATGACTTAACATGAAATTCCTCCAAAACATACATGATATATTTTTGTTTGGTTTACAGCTCGATGCATTCTCTTCCTTTTAATTTGGCTTCTCACTGGTGGCCGACATCATTTCTGGTTCTTGCCAAATCTGACAGCTGATGTTGGGTTTATTGACTCCTTCAGACCTCTATACACACACGAGTATAAGGGACCAAAATCAGACTCCAAGAAACCAATCGAGTCTGACACTCAGAAACAATTGAAGCCTGATAGCAATGACAAATCAGATGATGATAAAGAGAAGGAAAAGAAAGTAGAAACTGTGGGTAGTTCTGGAGTGGAGGGTTCGACCAGAGAGCGACAGTCAGATACAGACAGTGACAGAAAAGAGGATGATGGCTCCCAGCATAGTAGTGGAAATGGAAATGACTTTGAAATGATTACTAAAGAAGAACTGGAACACGCCACTGATGATGATGATGACGACGACGATGATGAAGAGAATGACGATGATGAAGAGACACAGCCATTACACAGCGAATCGTAAAGGAGATGTTCCATCTCCAGCAGCCGCATGAGTAGCTGATGTCAAACCATTCCACATTGGGATGGAAAACATACTGATACACAATGATGTATCAAGCCATTGGGAAATGTAAAACTCATGTTAATTGTAATGTTTGAATTTTCCTCAATCGCAGTGATTATAAACTGTGATGTATCAGCAAGCCGTTAATACTGTAGTAAAGCTTTTAGTGTAAACTGATTTCCTACAGAAAGGAATGAAATTGTGTTCCATAATATTGTCCCCATTATGATGCTTTTAAATACTATCCTTCCATTAAATCAATCATCATCATGACAATCCTAATGGCCCAGAGGGATTAGTTCTGGGGAATCATGTCTGTTCCTACTCATCTTAAGTTTATACATAAAATCCATGATTTTAAATGACTATATCTAAGCTAATAGTTTGGAGAGGCAAATAACCTTGTCTGAAATCCTAAATTCCCATAACTAGGTACATTTGTATTAATGTAGATGTGCACATGAGTTAGTCCCAAGCTTAAATGTGAAATCTAAGTGAATATGTGAAGAAGCATTCCTTGGTTTTAAAAGCTAATGGGTAAGAGTTATTCATTTCACCATCAATGAATATGTGTCAGTCCTTAATAGAATTATATCCAATTTTTGTGACATGTAATTAGTGTAGCAGTATCCAGAACCTCAAAGCCTTCAAAGTGGAGCAGTGACATAAAACCATGGAACAGACCCATCCAGAATGACCATTCTAATAGCATCAATCATTTCATGAATAGTTTGAGTTAATCTAAAAGCAAATCGCTCTTCCTCCCCTCCAAATACCACCTGTGAATCAAGTTCTTAACTATTTTTTCTTCTCATTGAAAAGCATTGTTTCAATCACTTATAATATCCTTTGCACCAAGATTACAGATGAAAACAAAATATAAATGATTCAGAAGGTAGGAAGTTTTGCAGGAAACATGTAAAGATACAGTATTTAAGGGAGGGAAAAATAGTTATCTTCAGGGCTCACAACTAAGTGCCATAATTTGCCCTGGTAGGATGCTATAGTCGCACAAAATAAATTCTGAAAATAGTTGGCACTGCTGACAATTAGAGGGATTTGAAGCTTAACACTAAACTTTTTCTTTTCCAACATTTGAGACTGAATTAAGAAATTTATTCCTAACAATCACCCACATTACCTTATGCAGTGATGGTGATAACAGAAGTGAAACTTTCAGCTGACAAACTTTGTATAAAGTTATTCAGAAGGGATACAAATTTGTTTTTCAGCTGCATTAGCTGCCTTATTAATTTTTAAACTGCATGTGATTCTGTGTCCATCTTCTTTTCTCTACAGATTTTAAGACACTGCCCAGATGAAGTGTAATGTTTTTTTCCCAAACTAAAAAATTGAGAGACATTCTTAAGACAAAAGGAACATCTACTATAGTTGTAAAGAGAAATCATTTCTAAGTACTTTGACTTTGCTCTGCTTTCAATGTGAGTATCACCTTTACTTCACAGATCTAAATTACATTTAGTTGCTTTTGTCCAATACATAGTTCCTGTAGTTATTGTCCCTAACATGTTTTCCCTCCTGTGACAGATATATTAGGATATTTTCCGTTGGAATTGAATTTCAGGACCTCCACTGTCCCTTTCCCTCAGTCTGTTTCACCCACAAAATATACTGTCAATTCACTTTACAGTACAGTCTGTGAAGAGCTTTGAGACATCACAAAGATGTGATAAGGCGCTATATCAGATGCAACTATTATTATTAAACTTGAATGAGATGCAGAAATAATTGTTTTTCAACATCTGCTAGTTGTGCAGATATCAAGAGGTTCAGTGCTGATCATTCACAGAATCTCTTTGTGGACCACACAATTTGTAATTAACTTTTAATTAAAAAAAGAAACTATAGCACAGAAATAAATAGTTGTAGCATAGGAATTTTCTATATTCATATGCTTTTCATAACAAGATACAAAAGCATTTTATTCCTGTTATGTGTCTTTCTTGGAGAAAGATTTGCCAGCATGCCAGTAGTTTCTCTGGTAGTGACTATCTCAGCCTGCTCTCAAATGGTTTTTGAGTATTTGTACATCATATAGTATAGCTACCAGCCAGTGCTATTTTATGTATATTGCAGCAGAGAGAATTGCTTGCTTGTTTAAACCCAGTTATATCCATATTTGGATTGATATAATTTAAAACCTTGACTTTGATTACTGGAACATTATTTAAACAATAACTGTTTGGCTATTTGGAAAAGTAACTGTATCCTTTTAATGCAATAAATTAAAAAAAAGATTCTTTTAGTCCAATTTTGAAACACACTTGAGAACAAGACATATTTTCTCAATCAATGTCAGGATATCGCCGAAGTGTTTCACACAAATCACTGGGAGCCCAAGCTTGGGAAGGTGGTCAAAGAGACGCGATAGGTTTTGAAGGTGGAAATGGAGGAGACATAGTATCCAGGATGCAGTTTCAGAGTAGAGGCTGAATGGCTTGAAAGCTCACCCAATTAATGGCACTGAGCAGGTGGGGTTATAGGAGACTACTTGGGGCAAGGCCATAGAGACATGTGAAAGGGTGAGGATCTTGAATTTGATCCACTAGGGGACGAGGAGGAATGGTACCAGTGGTGCACAGAGCCTGGTGCAGAAGGAAGCTACAGCGACAACACCATCAGAAGGAATGGTCAAAGCTTAAATTAGGTTTATTGAAAATGTTTTCAGGTTAGTAAACCTGATGTGCAAATGAAAGAGTGACTTATTACAGTGGTTGTTACGTATAATTAAGCATTGAGCAAAAGAGAATATGCAGAATCTTTACATTTGTAATGTACATTTTTTAAAACTGTTTACAGCTTTCTTTTTCCCACTACTGTAGCCCTCGTTCACATTGCTGTTCAATGTGTTCATGAGGGAGAGGTGGAGTTAGAAAATGGGACACTTTCCCACTTTGGACACCCAGTAGCAAGATGCAATAAAATGTTCCTTACCTTGCAGCAACAAAACCTCTGCAACTGGATTGAGGCAATTTATGTAAGGCCACTAAGCCAAGGTAAGTCAAGACTTTCATCTCAGAAATGAGAGATGAATTCACTATACTATACAAAGGATGAAGATCTCATTTAAAAGTTCAGCAGCATAGAATAAGTACTCATCACTTAACATTGAACTACATATTAGATAGAAACGATCAACAATAGATCCTACCGATTCCTAAGTTTATATAAATCCAAAATTCATGTGATACAATTGTGTCTGATAATACAAAGCATACCTCAAATCTCATTCTTTCAAATATTTTCACAAGAGAAGCATTTTCACACTATTTTGACGAGGTCAACCTAATACTGCAACTGAACTTTAGTAACCTGAACAGATACCATATTGTAGCTAATATTAAAAATATTGTCTTAACAAATATTTTGTTCCAAGATGGATGCACTCTATTGTACAAAATTATATTTTTATAACAGACCATTTACATTAGATATAATTAACAAACATCTCAAGTCTGTACTAAAATAGTTGGTGCATCCTCATTACTTGCTTACTTTCAAATCGAATCCAAATAAATGCTTCTGGATTATTCATGCAAAAAAAGTCTCTGATGGAATGTTAATTAGGTAGCACACGTTAAAACTAATGGACAACCCACTAGTCAGTGAGACTGAAAGTCCAGAAAATACTTTGAAGAACACCTGTTAATTCTGTGTGCAAGTCCTCAAGGAGTCATCTCTCTTGCACAGCAATGGAGGAAGAAAGATACATCCAAATAAATTAACACTCAGTGTCTGAAGAGTCTGTAATTTCTTCAAGGCGACTCTGTTTTTTACGCACATTCCAGTGCAGACACTCTGCAAGACCTTCGAACCAGTCATAGACAAGATCATAGCAGCAAATGGATGGCACTGGGTAGCATGAAGTTGTTACTGTAATACTGGGGGGAAAAAATAATTAAAATGAATTAAAATGGCTCCTGCTCCAATAATTAATAAGCAGTTTCAAATGAAATAATTGGAATCCAATTGCATAGCACACATTACAAAACAGCTACAAAGGGCAAATATCAGTGGAAACATTAATGGCATTCTTCCAGCACCGCATAACATGTAAAAAGTACTTTATTTTTCATGCTTAAAAAGCTTTAATGGACTGATTTTGCTACTTTAAATTTAAAGAAAAGCTTGGAAAATATATTTTGGTTACACATTAAGCTAACTGGTTACAAAGCGCAGAGGTGGCTGCATTAATTAAGAGTTGTATGCTTACCTGTCACTATGTTTAATCTCCTGTCTGCTCCTGCCATCAAATGACACCCAAGCTGTGTTTCTGGCATCAGGTGACAACATTATCTTCAAAAGAGAAGCACAGTAACAGCTTTAAGTTTTGTAGCTTACCTTACGTGGCCAAACACTTTCTATGCTTCCTGAGCATCTTGTATGTAAATCAGAGTGTTGGAGCACACAAACCCTTTGTCTGGTTTGTGCACACACACTCTCCCTGAGGAGACACATCCTCTACATTCAGTATAGGAGCAGCAGGGGCCAATTCAATGATCCTGCCAGAGTCTGGACAGTCTTCAGCATTCAAGTTTTAAAAAATTGTTCTTTAAGAGGAGTTGGTAGCCAAGTGCAAATGGAAAGTCTAATCCACATTTGGTATACCCAAGGCTGAATAATACACGTTTACTGGCATTCTCCCATTCTTGGCATTACAAGACAATATCTCACCTTTAGCTCCATTCCTGCTGGTACCACAATGGGTCGGAACGATAGTGAGTGAGGACAAATGGGGGTGATCATGATGGCGGGGACATTTGGATGCATCATAGAAGCTCCAGCTGCTGCAGCATAAGCTGTACTTCCAGTTGGTGTCGACACTATGACACCTAGGAAACCAAGTAAGCAGTCCACTTAGAAAACAATATAGATTGTACATTTCAATTCAGAATTTGGACCAACGTAAAGATACAGCCACATTGTACATTGAATTAATGGAATTAGATAACTAACCTGTAAAGTTGTTCATTTTTATGATTATTTTCACCATTTTATAGCAATTACTTTGGGTAGGATGACACACCTGCTCCCTTCACTGTGGAGGCTCCACCATGGACTATAGGAACCCAGATTGTACTCCTAAACCTGGTGGGAATTTGGACTTAAAGTTCGAACTATTCAGGCTGAAGAACTGGTGACATGAGAAATGATTCACCAATGGTGGTGGGCCTCTGAGAAGAGAGTCAAGGTACTTTAAGACAAATGTAATACATTTTATGCAATTGTACTCGCTACTAGACAATGCAATATAA